AATCTTTGGATTGAACATAAAGAAACAAGTAGATATTTATGATGTATAGAATTAACAACAATGTCAAATTACTTATATTTTTAAGACTTATAAGTAAAGAGAGGCATTGCAACTGCAAAATAAAATGGTATTAGAACATCATAGAATGATGTAACTTGGAAAACCTATAAGGCAATAAAAATTTACAAAAAAATTCAAAAAATTCAAACAAAATTAAACAAACAAAATCATAACAAATTTTTTAAAACTACTAAAATAAATATAAGACTTACTTGATTAATACAAATTAAGCATGTAAATCAAGATTAAAGAAGTCAAAATCAGTAATCCTAAAAATATTTACAAATGCATTTTTCTTACAAATATTCTTTATTAGAGCAATTATCTAAAGAAAAACATATATTAATTGTCTATTTAGTTGATTTCTTAATAATATCTAGAGACTAATCTAAAATTAATTTTATGATTATATATAATTAAAAAAAATATTTTTTCTAATTTATAAAAGTATGATAATTATGTAACTTAATAAAAAAAATATAGTTTGGTAATTTTTAAATAAAATTTAAATTATTAAGTTTTTTCTAATAGTATATTAAACATAATCATCCTTGCACCTTCAAATTGAACTTGGCCAATTTGAAATATACCATGCATCTTTTATAACAAGAACAAAATAAATAAATAAATAAATCACAAAAAATATATAAATACAAATTCTAATCTTTTTTAAATTTTAGAATATCAAATTGTAATTATTAGTTGCAACAGCCAAGGTTCAAAACAATGGAAAAAGAATCCAAAGTTTTACTATATAAATTAAAAGATATGAAACTACATCATATTATTCCAAAATAAACAAATACCAACACAGTTATACTAAAATATGTTTCTATAAAAACATACAACTTGTTGATGTGCTCACAAAGACTATTGGCCTCTTGAATTTCAAAGCACACAAACATCAACTAGACATAGCCAGTTTACACAAATGGCAAAGCAAAACAACACTTCAAAAGCTGCCAGGAAAGGATCACACCCAGCAAGAAACATGTACCACTGCAATCAAAATGGGAATCAAAACTATCTGAAAGGAAAGATTCGATGGAAACACTACCCAAGCTCATTACATGTATATATTATGCATAGTACCAGAATTATATACATATCATTACTTGTGAACCATGACTTTGTTGCTTCCACAGGATTTGGCACCACTCTAACCTACCCTAGCAAGCACGTCACAGCGCCGCCCTTCGTAAATAAAAGCAAACGGTCCTCCAATCCTGTGCCACAATGTGTGTTTATCACGGGTCGCCATGCTTGGAATCTTGATATACTTGTAGGGGATCGTGTTTAAAGCCGAACTTGCTTGTGCACAATCTGGTTGGATCACAAATTGGAGTGGCATGTGTTGCGAGAGTTTTTCGTTATTCTTTCTTGTTCTTGTCTCTCATCCTTTCAGTGCTCGGACGTCGTGCTCCTCATGTAAAAACTTTTAGTTGATCTGCAAAGATAGTCATGCAGGGCACCCCTTAAATCGAGATAGTAGTTCTCTGATGCTATGGTGCAGGGAGATGTTACTTTCGGCTTGGATACTTGATGCACTTGGTCAGATTTGCAAGCGTTGCAAGAGTGCGTTGTTTTAACTGGGAGCAGCTTTTGTGGTGCAGAGCTATGGCAGAATCTAGATGTTCTTGGGAGCTTGTGTACTGCATCATTCATGTTATCACTCTCAATGGAGTGCTAATGTCAATAATATGTCCACTTGCTGATGGAGTTATCTGAAAGGGTCCCTGGAGCTCTACGATGTGAAGTGTCTCGAGAATTTGGAGAACACCTCGTTCAAACAGATCCGCAATTCGCAAATGCGGGAAAGTATGCACAGAGTTCCATGAAAATTATGCTCGTCCTGTGTGTCTTTCCAGTAGCGATCTACCCCAGGACTGGCGTATCTCTACATCCAGCTTTTGGTGGGAAAATCGTCGTCCGAGCCGTTAATTGGCTTTCGTTCATCCTTCGTAAATTTACAATGTTTGACTCCAAGAATATGCCAGCGGATAGCGAGTCGGTAGTTGCAACCACCGATGGCAATGGTTCAGGTGAAGACCATCTTCGCAACAGAGAAGCTCCATTCTTACTTCGATATTCTGAAGACGTTCAATTCCCATGTCAACGGTCGAGTCTACTGATAGTGATCAACACATTTTCTCAGACTAATCTGGAGAGAGTCCGAGACATCGATAGGATTGTGCGTTGGCATGTCCATGGGCATTTCACCACGTTTACCAAAATTTAAAATCAGATTGTTCTGAAGGACGTCCAGTTTGACCAAAGATTCGTAACACAGAAGAATTGGTGAATTTCGGTGCAAATGTGGTATCCTTGAAATACAATGTTGCAACGATTGGTGTTGGCGAGTTCATCTGTGTTTGCACCAGCTTACGAGACAAAAGTGAATTGGTCGCATCCACCGTCGCAATTATCCACGTCTAAATAAACGAAGCTCAGGACGACTTTTTGCAGAAGGAGTGCCATCCATACAAGGGTCAAAGCTGACCTCAACTCTCATTTCATAGAACGGGATTCATTCATGTATGCATTCATGAATTTGGAGGTCGCCCACTCTACTTATCTCAAACAACCGATCGCCTCTTCGACTAGACGACAGTAACACGATTGTCGACAACTCGAAACAAACCACTTGTTGAGAATGTGAGTGTGACCTTCTGCTTTGTTCTCGTATCTCCAAATCGTCGTCTGCTTTAGCCCACTCCGAAGCACCTTTGTTTTCCATCACGGAAGCCAATCTTGCGCGTCGTCACTTTCCGATCGACGCGGTATTGGTTGTTTGTGGGTTGAGGTACTGGTGGAGGAGGTACCATTTATCAAGCGGGAGAGAGGTTCGAGATGCCATCGCTGATTAACTCTGTAATGTACCAGTCCTGGAGGTTTTCAATATAGCTATTTGGCAATGGATACATCCTTTGCAATTAGACTAGAGAGTGTTCTCACTATAGCATTTAACTTGATTTTATTATTATTTTTTTTTTTGGGTGGATATTATTGGTAGAGATGAGGATATATGTGGAGTCATGCTTGTGGTAAGATGTCTGCATCCTTCACCCGTTTATTGTATCATTGATCTGCGCCATTTTATCAACTTGTTTATTTATTTATATATGCTGAAAGATAAAATATGACTGAAGATTTATTTTGAAATTTTGAAATTTTATTTTAGAGAATTTAAACCCAATGAATAAAACATGGTATCTGGACTGATTCAATTACATGGTATTAACACAGTGAATACAAGGTACTCATTTTACATGGAGATAATGGTTACCATGGTTGGACATGATCTTTAAGATATAAAATGATTGAAGAATTATTCACAAGTTACTTTATTTTACAGTTTCATGTTTGATACATTTATTATTTTTAATAAACAACAAATTCATACTTAGTGCAGAATTTGAAACTATAATTGTGTGAAGGACTTCAATCGTTACTATTGGAACTAAGAAATTCGTTAGTTTTATTTATATTCTTATAATATACATATATATATATAGAGAGAGAGAGATTTTTTTTAGTTTTATTTATATTCTTATAATACATATATAGAGAGAAAAAAATTAAAATTGACCAAGTATTTATTAAATTGACCCACCCATTGTAACCATCATCACAAAATTCTCATTGGTCAAAAGTCAATGAAAAAATGGTCGGTTCCTCAACTGATGGATGGATTGATTTAGTAAATGCATTGGAAATTTTAACAATTTCTTTTATATTAAGCATTAACATTTTGTAAATTCAAAAAAACCATATGTATCATAAAGTATTTCTGGTCTTCTTTGTTTCTTAAATGATGCCCAAAATTATGTACAAGTCTTTATATCCAACAATTATATCAAATGTCATGATTCAAGAGACTTGTAAGAATTGGGTCTATGAGGATGCCTTTTGTAATTCAAATATAAATCAAAGTAACATATTTGAGAATTCATTATGTAGAGATTTTATACTCAAACCTATAAATGCTATATATTTGAAACCCCAATTCTGAATCATATGTATTTAGAATTGGAAACTACTCCATGTTTTGTTTATACAAGAAATAAGATATTTTCAAAAGAAAAAAGAGATAAAGGATCATGGCAAATTGTGACCAAGTTTCCGAAAACATGACCATTACTTGAAGCATGCAGGTTTCCCAATGAATGCAAATCACATCTATGTTCAATTCGAAAATAACTCTAGAAAACAAAAGATGATCCAAAGCAGGACAGTGGGAGCACCTTTTACAAAAAAGAGCAGCCTAATTGAGTCTGGGTTCTTGAAGGGAAAGCAGTTTTTTTCACTCACATTCATAGTGCTTCAAAGTTTTGGATATATATGTAAAAAGATTTGATCAGTAATCAGTCAAGATTTCTGAACAGCATTGAAAGATTTCTACCTAATGGGCAGTTTTAGGTCAAAAGCATAGTGAATCACGAGAACCCATGTGTGCAAGAGGGAGAGTAACAAGGCAGCTTTCCTGCATGAAGCCTGTGGGCAGGTAGGCCACTGATATCAGTGACATTCCTCCCTTTTGATATTCCACCTTGTACCCACTAGTCTTGTCTAGTCATCCTCTCCAGTAACTGTTATTACAAGTACTTTAGGTGTAGGAAATTTTACATCATGTGCAACAGTTCCTAAGTTTCCATGTTCTTTCTGCATCCAAAAAATTATTATTTTAAAATTAATTCAAAGTACTGTGTCTTTCTGTAGGAGATGCACAGACAGGAACAATAGTCTGGTTGTGAAAAATAAATAGGAAAAAAAGAAAAAGAACAAAGAAAGGATAAGGACCAACAAACATCTACCTGCACATATTTGGCAAGAGCCATAAAAAAAAGTCACAGATGTGAGACACAATATTGTTTTGCACGCTGAAAACATTTTTTAAAAGTATAAGTAAAAGTAAAAGGGAAAATAAAACAGGGGAAAGATCATTTTAAAAATGCATTTATATATGTAATCCACTACTTTCCCCCGAATATGTCATGGGAGACTCCACCAAAGACTATCCAGCATGAACTGAGAGAGTACAGGTAATGAGCGTGATTGCTGTAGGGAGAGTCCCAAGACAGAAGTAGTACAAAAACAATCTTTAATAGCCTACTTCTGGCAACTTGGCTGTCACAAAGGAGAAAGAAATGAGGAGGAAAGAAACGAGAGATTTAAGGTTTTGAATATATATATATATATATAGATATTTTAAATTTTATCCTCTGTTCTTTGGACGAATTGGTTGCTAGGGTTCACGAAATGCTTGTAAGAGCACAAGCCGTGAACTACACCTGAAATGGGAAGAAGGGTGAGTAGACTGGGCAGCAACACTGAAAGGATGGCGAGGCAGTAAAACACTTAATGTGCTCTGCAGGGGTCTCTGAATATCATATCTCTGTAGTGTATAACAAGAGGTGCATTCATTTTCTATTGTGGAGCCAACTTGTAACCATCTCGACAGTGAGAGAGTGAGTGTATCCACACCTGAAAGGCTCGGTGCAAGTGTCAATCGAGGCTCTACCAGTTTTCCTCTGCATTCTGCATCAGCATCCAGGAGTTTGATTATTTTCTCTTATTTTCGCTTGCACAATCATGGTTATATTTCCACAAGGCACGAACTCCAGAGTCAAACTGAACGACTGCTCTGTCAGTGGATTAAGCATCCGCCCTTAGAAGAAGGAATGAAAACAGCAAAAGAAGCGAAGTAAGTTAGGAAACAAACAATCATGCTGTCCCAGTACAATTCTTTCGTCCCAGATTCTCATCTCAAATTCGAAAGAGGAAGGATTAGTAATCTCTATTAATAATCACGACGGTGTGTCGAGGAATGAAGTTGTGCGAAATGTACAGTAGCTGGTGAAGCACTGTGGAGTGAGAAGCCTAAGATGTTCATCCAAGGTCTATTTCAGACAGAAAAAGTGGGCGGGGGAGCATGAGGAAGAGGGGGAGTCTGTAAGGCGGGCAAGCCTGGTTCAAATCCTAGGCCAAGTTCCGGTTGCCGCTCAGCCATATGCTGGAGGACAATTAAGCTCTTTCATCTCTGGTCTGTGATCCCCATATTCGGCATCTGAAATGATTTGTCGCTCTGGTCCATCCCGAACCCAGCTTCACCTGCCGAGCACAGGAGAGAGATCCCAAAATTAGCCAGTGCCGGGCTGCTCCTTTTTGAGTGCCAACCGGGCATTACACTCTCATTGTCAGATACTTCTCAAGTGTGATAATTTGAGGCAACTAGTTTCAGATTGATTGATTAACTTAGTATTTTAAACATAAAACGAAACACCAGTTCTTCTTCTGAATACAGTCCGCGCCCGTTGATATTTCACTTTTGCGGCATTATTTCCATTCCAGCATATCTGAAGCCTCCTATTGTGATAGATTTTTTGCAAACTTCTGGTGGAGAGGTTTTCGTTCTCTTTTCTTTTCGGAATGGGATGTTGAAGGATCTTGACTTTCGTCGCCATTGACCCATCGGTCATTTATTAACCCCGCAGTCAGAGAAACAGAAGAAAAAGCTTTGATGGCATCCATAATGCCTGCGTGCTGGCACCTTCTCACAGTTAACCATGAGCTTGTGGGTATTCTCATCTACCAGCGTGCTGGAATTCGGCTGTCATCAGCTAGTCACCGAGCGCATCCGCTCCCCGGAACCCAATTCCGTGGATGACCTCCGTGGATGAACTCCGTTGATGGCTCGCATTCCACCATAACCTCGTTCCACGGCGCTTAGTTGCCGTCCGGTTCGCAGAATATAAAAAACCAGAAGCACCGTTAAAAGAGATTTACGGAGTGGAATGATGTGGCAGGATGCATCGCAACTGGATGAGAGGCCTGACGCGATTCGATTCCAAGAGGAGGCATTCGCCATGACAAAGGTAACTTATGGCCGAGTCAGCGTGATGACATCCTGGTCTAATTTGGTCGGCTTGCTCATGAGGCTTTACATCGCACAATAAGACCAACTCGGGTCTCTGTTCGGGATGCAGTACATTGGCTTACCTTGGAAGAAGCTCTGGAGGATATTTTCACGATTTTGATGCCACTCTGTCTGTGGGACTGCGTTATAGACACGATTGTGTGGAATTCTGCTGGGTTGCGCTCCGATCGGCGTGCAGAGGTAGTGGTTTCAGAGAGGGTTGGGCTTTTTTGCGGTCGTTCTGTGCAGTACAAGTGGGTGCTTAGACGGAGTTGTAACAGGGGACGGTGAAGGCGTTGGTGGTTGGCGGTGAAGAAGCGAGCAAAATTGTGAGCAGTATCGAAGGATTTGGAGGAGTTTTCTTAAGAGTTCCTTCTTTGCTTGTCGTTCCGTTTCCTTTACTTGCTTAGTGTGGCGTTGCCGGTGCTATATGATTTGTAGCCATGGGTGTGGAAAAGGCGCCTCCTCCAATCATCTCGACTTTAAACCCGAATGCGAGTGTGTTTGTGCCTGCGTCTCTTCATGTGCTATCGGAAAAGGATGGGATGCCTGACGATGTTGTGCCTCCTCCGACGGATGATCGTATCGCACCGGGGCCATACTCCGACGAGTGGTGGCACCTAATGGAAACCGATTCCGCTTTCCGACATCAGTATTTGTCAATGTGTCCAAATGAACAGGAGAAGAATATCCTTGCGGAAGAGTTTGATGTGAGTGCAGACTCTGACGATTTTTTCAGTTACCAAGAGAAACTTGCTCTTCAGGAGGAAGAGGAGGAGTTGGCTCGTAAATTGGCGGAAATCGGTAGGTTCTTGCTGATACGAGTCTCGATTTGGAGCATTCGCAGTTTTTGGTGTTTTGGGCGGTACAGGCGTCATCTGCTGATCTAGTTTCCTGTTGCATCAGCTTAGAAGCTTTGAAAGACGGTTAGTTTGCGTAGCGAATTGTGCTTACGGGATAGTGATTCTGGTTGCCGCTGATTTGTTTTGTTGTAAGAAGTTCTTTTGTAGTTGATAACATCGCTAGTTTGTTAGTTCAGGTCGCATCGGCACCTGCTGTTTGTCTTTGGTCGGTGTTTTCACTTACAAAGTGAGATTTCTTCTTGGCGCTTTAGTAAGTGTAAACTGCTCTATGTGACTCCGCAGACTACCTTGAGGATGAGGATCTAAGCCTCACTACTACAAATAACTGCAAAGACGTGAAGTCCCCCAAGCAGCAGTTGCAGGTACCGTGGTCCAAGAACTCTTTTCAGTATCAGAATAAGGCCGTGTCATACAAGGCGGGTGGTTACACTAGAAAGACGAATGCTTACCACCGTATTCATCAGCCGCGCACGGATATGTAGATAGATTAAATTATTCGTGTACTTCTAAGCGCTGTGTGGTCGCTGTGCATTTTAAAAAGGTAGTATTATAATGTCGTGTACAATGATCTCCGGAAATGTAGTTAAGCTCGCACTTCTGTCAGTCTTTTTGGTCTTCAAATTCTATCGTCACCCTTTGTTGAGCGTTGTCGTTACGCTAAAATGCTACGGCGGTGGCATGAAACTTTACAGAGATCTTAAGGTCAGACTGCTTGCTGTTCCCGATTCTTTGAAAGATCATCCCATGCTCATGTGAATTTGTGCTGTTGGTCGGTGCAGCAATTGTTTGCCATAAAGGTTATTATTTAGTATAAGTACTTCCAATAGTCATTTTGACGTTTCGATTGCAAATGTGCTGGATGTCCGCTTCATCTGTTCTAGTGGCTGCCTCGGCCTTACAAATTGATGGATAAGAGGCTTACAAATTGTGTCATTAGTGCATGGCATTTGCCATTCACAGATATCGCAATTTGTAACTCTCTCTGGAGCTTATCGATTTGTGGGCTTTTTCAATGCCCAGAAAACAATCCTGAGGAAACTTCGAATGTCGGTTGTCTTGGGAATGGCAATACGAGAAGTTGAAATTAATTGTATCGGTTGGGTTTGCTCCGAGTACAGGATACATGCTCGAAATGACAAACAGTTGGCTTTAAGCGTTTAGAACAATTTGGGGTCCGTGCAAACAAATCGAAGTGATTAAATTGTTATTTACTGAGGCGTGGGTTTTCGCTAATGTTTCGTTCAGGAGTGACGTGATGCGATCGTTAGCAGAGGCTCAACTCTGTTCATATGATCGTTTGCAGCTAGATCCGATAATAATGCCTGCTTATTTTTACCCTTGGATCCGATAGAACTGGTACTCAGGCCGAATTGGAGACAAACTCCCAGCGACGCCATTTATGTATTCTTATCACTTTTATATTGGACTGTTTCACATTTAGAACATTTAGTAGCAAGGTTGAGAACGCTGGATGAAAAATTCACACTTCAACGTAACTTCCAAGGAACCCATGGATCCTGTTTCGCTCTGCCGTCGAAAATGCTTGCAGACATGCCATTAGATTATCCATGGTATTGAAATTGTTCTATGGAGCTGATTTCAATCAGACAGTCGACAAGATATTTGTATCCATGTACATTTGGAGTGTTATGTCGAAGTGGACAGCTTAGGTAGGTAAATACCTGCATTCTCAATGTTTCATGTTGAGCAATTTGGAAAATGTTTTTCAATGAATCAATTTTGCCTTCGAAAACAATTTTCAATGTTGTTAACAATTAAGTAAAAAAAAAGGATTCTGCCGTGACAGTAAGATCATGTGTGTCACTTCTGGATAAATGCGTTTGACCCCACTTCTTAACTCATTGGTATGCTGCTTAACTAGATGATGTCCAGCAGTTATATTATGTTGATATGTTCTTATATTTTTAAGTATTTTCATTACGACTATGGGTATCATTTACATATGTACTTGAGCTGAAATTTCTTTACTACCTATCAATTCTGTAAATGCTTCAAAAGAAAACGAATATCACAAATTTTTTAATGGGGAAGTGATTTTTATTGTTACAAAATGAAGAGCATGATGAGCCCAAAAAGAATCATTGTACCTCAAGCACCTGCTGACTTCATCACAAGCAGGAGTTGACATGTGCTGTGCTGCCACTACATGTACTCTCAACCATTGAGGCGAGAAACAAATTGGACTAAATTGTACTCTTCACTATACTGTGACTGGTCCCACAACTCTTCTAAATTGTTAAGCATGGCTTTGAGGCCCTTGTTAACTCCTACTGATGCTGCAGCATCACTTTCGTCCTCTCCGGCCTTCATGGATGTGCTAGCCTGTTTGATTACCACATTTTTTGGTCAGCGGCACTCACATTAAATAAGAAAATAACCATGACCTTTATCATCATGATGAGTAAATATTACAGGTTGCAACGAGGCAACACATCCATTTCCAATAATAAAAAGGAATAAAATTTTGTCCTCAGAACTCGACATATTCTAAAGCGAAACAACGAAGCTAGACAACAACGAATAAGATGACAGTAATCTTACCTTTTGAGCGTTTTTAGAAACTGTAAAAAGGTCGAGAAGCTGTGTAGTATCCATTGTATTTAGACTAGCATTCTCTGCATTTATGACAGTGTTCGCTACTGAGATTTTGAAGCGCTGGAGGCTCATGATCTTCTCTTCAAGTGTTCCACGCATAATGAGTCTGTGGACATTGACTACTCGCTTTTGTCCTAACCTATGTGCTCGATCCATTGCCTGAAAAAAAAATTCGGGTTGAAAGTCAAGAAAAATCGAAAAGGGAAAATGCGACATTTCGAAGAACAAGCACCAATGAAGATAAACAACTGCTGTACCCTCAATGTTGAACTTACAATACAGATATGATACGAAAGTTCATTTGATAATTAATTACCTGCAGGTCGCGCATGGGGTTCCAGTCATGCTCCATGAATACGACTGTGTCCGCTGCAGTTAAATTCAGTCCTAGACCTCCAACTGATCACCCAACATAAAGGTAAGTGATGGATCATGCACAATTTTACTTTGAAAATTCCAAAGCGCTTCCAATCTATGCACAGGGAAATTCGTATCAAAGATGACAGAGATTGTGAATGAGCTTCACAACTCATACAAACGCCCTAGATAAAAATAGCATCCATTGTTACGAGAGAAGTGCGCACCATGAGTGGTGAGAAGTAGCACATCAATGGTGGGATCGGAATTGAAGGCTTTGACAATATCGAAACGTTTGTCTGACTCCACCGATCCATCCAATCGCAAGTATGTCACCCTGTACCCATTAGCGACTACACATTAATATCGATCCACATGGAATTTTCTTCACAACAAAATAAGATACATGAAAAAGTAAATTGCAAAGAGCGTATACATGTACCAAAGTCTTTAAGGACTGACCCTTTCATGTGTGTTTGGAAAAGGTCCTTTTCTATGATGTCCAAAAAGTTCTGCAACCAAACCAAGAATGTAAGATCTTAGCACAGAACTTCACTAACTAAACTTCAGGAGGCCTACAAAACATTGCCTTCGTATACTCTGTTAATATCCCTTGTTCGATTATAGGTAGGAATTCGGAAAATAATAAAATTTCCGAATCTTTGGATTAATTTCTGAAAAAGCGTGCAAATATACCACAAAACAAGGAATCTCAGAGCTTGTGGTAGATTACTCCACTAGTTATAAAAAGTAAGATAAGTGAGAGGTCTTATTACTCAAGGTAATACATTGATGCAGCCAGAGGGTAGCAACATAACGTAAAACGGGTACCTTAAGTTGGGCAAAGATAAGAACACGATGATGACCTCCTTCTGGACTGGCAGAACTTTCAGCTGCCGCAGGTACCCCAATACCGCATTCTTCTAAGATATCCCGAAGAGCCTGAAGTTTGGGCGCATGATGTAGTTCATGTAGGTCTTTGGCGCCACTTTGAGCAATTGCATCAACATGCCGCGCTGCTTGTCTCTCGTCCTCCAATACAAGCAGAGGATGACTACAAAGCTTCCGCAGGTATTGCAGTGCCTGCGATCCCTCACAAACATCAAATCCTTGAGCAGTGAAATACTATTTTGCTACTTGTCATGCAGGGGAGTCTTTTCAGATAGACACCATGAACGTTACAGCTCAGACTTTTTCCCTGGCATCAAAGAACAGTCTAGAGTACATGCGTCATGAGAAAGAAAGCCAAGCCACAACATGCACCTGGAAAACATGAGTGGAAGGAGCGCTGGCTGTTCGGGCTTCTGAAGCATCAGGACCACCGTAATGCTCTACTAATGAAGAGATTTCTTGTTTTGCCTGGGAATGAGAAAAATCTTCATACAGCTGTAACTGCAATGGGCTGAGATCACAGTATCGATCTTGAATAATTTTTGGTGGAAGATCAGCGAGCACTTCGTCTTTCGTACGGCGCAACAAAAATGGCATGACCTTCATTAAATAAATCTTGGGTGTCAGAAAGTGTTCAAGATGTACCAGATCAGATTTGAAGTAGGACTCAACGCTCCTCAGTAACGCACTACAAAAGCTTACAGATATGGTTCACATCGAAAGGACCTAAATCAAAGAATTAATGAAGGCACTGCAGGTCCTGTGCCCTAACTGCATCCCTGAAAATCTTTCAAACTTTGGTTCAACAAATCGTTGTTCTCACGTGAAACATTACGTGAGAACAATGTTCAAACCCATATTACAAGCGATGTTCACGAAGTAATCATATCATCAGCATCGCCTTTAACAATAATTACATATAATACCTGCTTATGAAGTGCTTCCATGGCCAACACTCCAGCCTCAGCTTCTTTTGAAGAGCATTTACCTTCCCTAGACGCTTGTAATGGTTTCCCATAATTAGCTTGAAACTGCAAGTGAAAAACTATATTATTCACATACTCTAATAACATGTCATGTACTCTTAGCCAGGAGAATAATCTCCTTCGCTTAGCAACGTCATAGATTCAAGCCCAAAAAATTTAAATTCATGTACACAGGCATAATAAAAATGATAAACAAGTATAAAAAAGACTTGAATGACAAGAATCTTCTACATACCTGGCGCTCAGTGCCTAGGAAACCAGGCATGAGGAAGTCAAATAGAGACCAAAGCTCCAGAACGTTATTTTGGATGGGAGTTCCTGACAGTAAAAGCCGATGATCAGCCTGTACACGTTTAGCAGCCATTGTGATCTTTGACTTCGCACTCTTGATAATGTGACCCTCATCGAGAATGCAGTAGTTCCACACCTGCGTTGCCAGATAGTCGATATCTTTACGCAAAACATCATATGATGTGATAATTATGTTATGCTTTGGAAATCGAGATCGTAGATCGATTCGCTCTTGAGGCGACCCCGCGTATTGTAGGGGATTTAAAATGTCAGTTGGTATGAATTTCTCAATCTCGAAAGCCCAGTGTCCTACCAAAGTGGATGGACATACCACCAGCGATGGAAGAGGGGCTACATCGGGACTCTTGGATACAGCAAAGGCATTTGCTCGTTCAACAGTATCAGATGCAACAATGGCAGACGCTTGGAGGGTTTTACCCAAACCCATATCATCACACAAAATGCCGTGCAGTTTGAAACGCTTCAAAAATGCAAGCCAATTGATGCCTTCCTGTTGGTACCTGGAATATAAGGATAATTTTTCAGATTTTCGAAATACGACAACAAAACATAACACTAAAATAATCTGGAAAGCAGGAAAACCATGTATAATTATTCGAGTAAAAGGAATAAATATTCTAGAAGGCAGCAAAAGGGCAAGTACTCAAAAGAGGAGAAGTCTAAATCAGACCCAACTCCTACTTAAAATGCAAAACACTGTCAGCACAACGATAATCAGCTTATCTTGCATGTATAACTTCGCAAGATTCGGAATTCACCTGCGCAAAGTGACATTGAGTGGAAATTGTAATTTGTAATCATCAACCTGTGAGTTATCTAATAGCTGCTCCAGGAACCGTGTATCATCTGCACTCCTTGATGCTTGGAACTCATCAAGCCCTTTAGGAGGAGGCACTCCACGAGCTAACGGAAGAAGAGGAACAAGGGCTGCAAAACTTTTTGTGACACTTTGACGAACATGGTGATTGGAATCACTCATACAACCCAGCAAGGGGACAATAAGCAAGGAAGCGTAAGCCACAAGCTCCGTGCCTAGACCCTCAACCAGAGCCGTAATTAGCATTCCTGAACCTTGCCGTGCTTCAACGGACGTAGTGTCACCCAACATAGGCACGGCTGTAATTAAGACAGATGCCATCACAGGCTCGAGCATGGTCTGAGCCGTGGCAGTCAGGCATCTGGAAGCTACGAGTCGGACTGCTGCATGGTCATGCCGGACACAGGCGAAGATTGCTGGCAAAAGTAACAGCATTTTAGGATGCAGAGCCTTGTCAACCACTGGAGCCATGGACCTCACCACCTGCATGAGCCAGTTTAGCAATGGCACGTTTCTGTAAAAATTCTGAACTGTGTAAAAGTGAATCTTCTGAATAATCTAAATATTAATAATTCAAGAAATTTTTCTCCAACTGGACTTAAAGCAACAAGGGAACGGCACAAGGTCTGACTGTAAAACAGCCTACCTGAAGGTTAGTGATGAGAGCCTGAGGTTCAGCAGTTAAAACAGGAAGTACAATGGAAGCTTGATCACTAGTGGCAAGAGCTGGTTGTCCAAAGCTTTCAGTCAAGCAATCCCACAATTTTGGAAGCTGGTTCAATAATGAACTACCAAACTTGTTACATAAAGACTTCAGTGCCGATTCCGCTCCACGTCTGGTGATCGCCCCTTCGGCTCTTGCTCTCTCTTCAATGGCAGACAAAGGTGCTACTTTTGCATGCTTATTACCTTTCCCAGAAGAGGGCACTTCAGCTTCTTCGATGCTAACTGCACTTGCATTAGCTTGAGTGGCTTTTGGTGTCTCCACCGGATCAGCACAAGTTAATGCGCACAAGTTCTTAATTAACTTCTCGTTTGGACTAGGTTTTCGTCCTACGCATTGCACGATAATTTCCGCTAATGCCTCTGCTGCAGGTTGTTGAAGTGCTTCTTCCTGCAAAGCCAGAGCAGACTCGTAACTATCAATTCAAAACAATAACATGGAAGATCAAATTATTCTTCACAACCTTAGAGAAAACATCAGGACTCATACAGTTAGCAGATTTCTGATTAGAAATTTTCTAAGTCGGAATTAAAAGTAGCATCATAACAAGGAACTTAACAAAACCTGTTCACGTTTTATTGCAGCCATCAATGGCTGAATAATAGGATTAAGCTTCACGGGAAGTTCACCCATCCAGACAACAGCACCCGCAAGTGATGCCAACACACTCATGTGCAAATTACCCTGCAATTCCAGTAACAAGACAAAGAGATTGAAGCAAAGATTCCAAGAAAAAAATACACAAATAACAGAACAGTCTAAAAATAAAAAGCTATTTCATATGCTCCAACCTTCACGTTACCATCTTACTACAACGATTGTCTAAGTCACAAGTTCATCAGACCTGGACTACTTGGAGGTATCCAGCCGTAGCCAGCAAGCGTTGGCGAGCCAATTCCATTGAATCCGAAGCAGACGTTGACTTATCATCAGCATCCCCATGTGGCTGACTTGGTTGCACAAGTTTACTAGCCAACTCTATTGCTGCTTCAGCACTAATGGTGTCAATTGACGGTAAGCTGGCAAGAACAGAGCGCTTGAATGTTCCTAACGATTCCGTGTGTTTAATAAGAGCCCCAGCCTCCGTGCGCATTTTAGCGAACATCCTGGAAAGCTCTCCGTATGGTGCACTGGATCCTGGTGTTGGGGATGAAGGGTCTCCAATACCCAGAAGCTCCAGCAGTCGGACCAGCATGGGTTGTACAGCTGTTGCCGCTTCTGAGGACTTATCGTGGTCCATTCGGACCCTCATTTCCTTAAACCATGATACAATAACCATTGATGCTACCTGTTTAAAAAACAAAGACATTACTTTAGTAAGTTAGATCTCATTTCCTGTTGTTATAAGAAATTTTATTCCCTACTTCAGACAAATTGAGTAGCATACCTGGCGTTGCGTGCCTAGGGACGAGGATAACAGCTCAGTTAGCAAATTGGCAACAGTAGGAAACAGTGCGGAAGGTAATGAAGCTGCAAGTATGCCGAGGGCTCTAGCCGTAGTCACGCGCATAAGAACTGCAGATTTTTCGCCGTCAGCTCCAACAATCACATGAAGAAGATCCCGGACCTTGTTGTTTGGTCTAGGGGGTTGCCAGCTGGATTCCCCAACTGCCGGTATCTCCCCACGAACTGCCTTCAGCTTGGCAACTGCTCTTCCTCTGCTTTTCCTGGGCAGTGAATTCGGTGAATACATTTTAGAAGTCTCCAAAGGAGCACCCGCGGCTGTGCTTGCCAATTTTAACCACGATGATAAATATGAAGTTGCTTCTTCTGCAAGCTTTTCTTCAGGACACTGCTCAAGAAGATGAAAACCATGACATCAGTAACCTACACATTAAAAGCATTTCTATTAAGACCTGAAGGGGAACAAATTCTGATAACATGTTCAAGCCCAGTCATTGAGAAGTTTCATAAAATAAGCGTAAAAATAAGTGTACTAAAACACCCCGAATGTCGGGAGCATTTCAAACTTATTCAACCCAGCAACAGCACTGGCAGTTGCATAAAGAGAAAGCAGATGGGAATTTTAGAAAGTACATTTAAAATCAGCACGAAGGCATTCATCGTCATTTGACCATTAAATTAGGAAGTTATCTTTAAAAAGATAGACAAGATTTCAACAAGAAAGATGTCATTTCAAAACATCTACGATCTACGGTAATGCCAATGAACAGCTCAACAGAAAGACGTATATAAGAGTAATGCCACTAACTTGAAGTAGCAATCGCCACACACGCTGAGAGCATTGAATAACAGCCTCATCTGACTCAAGAAGCAGATTTTGGAAGACCATTCTCAAAGCATCACCCAATATAGGGACAGCCCAGGAACTTCCGGTGTCCCCCTTTGCTCTGTAATCTCCGGACTCCAGAAGCCGCTCCTGCAAGATCGAATACAAAGATAAATCATAACACATATGTAAGAATGAAGTCATCAATACGTGTACTGGAAGAGTCCAAAAAGCTTATTCAACACACTGCTCGCTCTCCATACTGCATTCATACATTTAGATTATCAAAAATCGTCACAACTAACCAGCTCAGGGGCAGCAGCTTCACACACACGAAATATAAACAATCGATAAACTGCATTTTATCACCATTTTCGAATTAATGTTAGAACTAGGCGTATAGAGGGGAATAAAGACTAGGTCAAACCAGAGTTCGTATAGCTGCAAGGCGGACAGAGGTGATATTGTGGCGCATGAAAGGCCACAGCCGTGGGGCTAAAGTCGAAAGCAAAAATGGATCGTCTTCTACACCGGTTGCACTATCGCTCCCTGAGATTTCATCCATCATAGTCTCATTCAAATCTAGCAACATTGGCTTTTCCATCACTGTTTTTGACTCCACTTGTGGCTGGGAATACAGCTCAGCTAACAAGTGCATAACACTGCCACAATACAAGAACATGCTCTGTAAATAAACTGGATTTAACCAATAGAGAACAGAGCTTCGCGGAGGATGAAGCAGGGTATAATTGAAACTCACCTACTAGTTGATGGGCTGAGGTCATCCAGGTCCAGCAAGATATCCCAAAGGGACAACAGGATAGCAGTGACATGTTTTGCACCAGCAGATGCAACTATAGCAGCTGCTGCTGGAGTCAAAGCCTCTGCAGCCACTGCCCGTACATCATCGTCTGCGTCCTCCAAGCCTGCCATGCAGGCCGGAAGGACTCGAGGTAATAGTTCCTGCAGCATTTCCTGTGCAAGATAACCAAGATTGACGCCTCAAATCAAGGCTTACTACAAATTTTATTGTGCAAAACAAAAAATTTGCTATCGTTGTTTTGAAGCTTATTACTGAAAGCCCATAAGATGTCTAATTACGAGCTTGTTGAGGGTTTTGCAAATCTTTGTCTAAGCATGACATGCTTCAAAAGGTACAACACAGAATCCTTTGAGGTTAAAAAACATCTTTAACATGTTTCGCTGAAAACCTCGCAAACATGATATTTCATAAAAAAAAATTGCACAGTTCTCAAGATAACGAAGGAACTAAGAAAGATATACCTGACGAACAGCTACAAGATACTTGATACCCAATAGGCTCCCGTGTCGCACCTCCCACTCGGGGCGATTCTGTTGCCCAACTTGTATAAATACCCACACTCGTCTCAAGATGTATCAAATGATAGCCATGTTCGCATTCTGACACTATTCAAACCATGAAACCTAGAATCGTGATAGATACGCAAAGAAAAACCAACCATAATGTTTGATATAACAAAGCTTATCAATTTTTTCTTCAAAGAAGAAACAACTGAATCTGTAACAATAAAGTCTTAAGGATAGAAATTGTCCCGCATCATCTCTACCACCAACAGAACCCATCATATATGCCTCAGTGTCGCAACGTACCTGCATTTGGAGTAAAATGCTCAGTGTTTCATGAACCAGAGGTGGTGGCATCTGCTTCATCACAGCTCCCATCACTTGTGCACATGTTTCCCGAACAGGCGCTACCACTTGATCCGACACATAATCTCCAAACCTGCGTCAACATCACAGTTTCAACGCAAAACCAGACCATCCCAATCCTATTGATTCAACAGTTGTGCGGCTTACAGCACAACTGTCTTATAAGCATAAGAAAGTAAATCTCAACATTAAAAATTCTATCCCAGCTCCATAACCAAGATACATGATACAAAGATGAACCCCTACAACTACTACTAAGTTTATTTACACCCATAAAGCCAATGGATGATGTCAGTATACTTACCGATCAAGGGCAAAGACGCAGAGTAGACGAATAGTACAATCTTGTAGAAATCCGATGTTTGCAGCTAGGGCTTTCTTTGCGGCTCTTACAACCTTTGGGTCGTTGTTTTCTTTCATTACACTTGCAGGAGCAAGAACATGCCAGGACAGATTTGACTGCGAATCACTCTCTGAGTTTGTCTCTACTTTCACATTTACTGGATTTTCTTTCACAGTCAATGGCTCTTCTTTTACTGTTAATGGCTCATCTTTTACGGTCAATGGCTCTTCTTTCATTTCCATGTTAAGATCTAACTCCACCTCCATGTTAAGGTCCAATTCAGGTTTCACAGCACTTAAAGACAGCTCCGACTTGACCATACCCAATTCCAAATCTAGTTCAGGTTTTGACGCATTCGAACCTTCGGTTCTACCCATTTCCAAATTTAACTCAGAATTCATTGCATTTAGGTCTTCAGATTTCAAGTGATCTGGCTTCGATCCTGATTTCATGCAACCCAAACTTAATTCTATTTTAACAGGGACCTGGTCTGCTTTCATCCAGTCAGGCTTGCTGTTTACAACTTCTGGCATCCCAGTCCAATTGTGATTGTGGAAAGCTGGTGATGAATCTTCCTCACCCTTTTTTAATCCTCCATTGTCTTCCTCTGTTGGTATGTCTAAATTTAGATCTATCATACTTTCCTTGTGAGGACTTGAGGATGGAATTTCTTTCTCAGATTCGTTGACATCACAAACTGATGAGTTAATGGGTGTTGATTCTTCCACTGCTTCAGCTTCTGATTCAGACTCCAGAGTTGGGGCCGTGACACCAGCGGATGCTGCTTGAACACTCAGAATTTCTCTCAATGCCATTAAGCTCCCATGTCGTACCTCCCAGACTGTCAAATAGATTCACATTACTGAAATTAGTTGATGTCTGTATATAGACGCCACAACAAACGTCAAAATGGCTGTGAGTAAAGCATAAAAACCGCTAAATGTACTCGATAAATAGTGGATCTAATGAACAGGGATATTAGCGGATATAACAATCTACTTAGGGTGTTTTAAAGTACCAAAACTCCTAAATCCGCGCCAAAACATAACATCGTGTAATAATGTAAATGAGCTGAAATAAACAACATGAACTGGATAAAATAAAACCTGGATCAAACATATCGTTGATGAGGAGCTCCACAATGTGACTAAAGGGCCATTCTCCAACAGTATCTTCCTCTAGATTCTCATTATCTAATACAACATCTACCACAAGCTGCACCACGCCATAACAACTCAAAAGTCACCTCTCAGGCTCAGCATTAGGTACTGAAGCTACAGGATATACATGTATGTTCGACACATCCAAATCCAACCTGTTCAGCAAGAACGAAGCTACATTGCAACAGGAAAAAGTAGCTTCCAATCAGGGAGAAGAAAAAAAGAAAAAAAGAAAAAAAACACGCTAAAACAAATTGCATTACAAAGTAAATTGCATCTTACTTCTACGAGAATATCTAAAACCTACACTAATGTCCAAACTAACATACCTTCGTATCTCCACCCTGTGCCTGCTCAGACATAACAGACTTAGTTTGTTTAGTACGCTTAGCAGTCGGCTCCTCAACTTCCTCTTCCTCTCCCCACTCTTTCGCACCATCTTTAGGTAACACCTTGGCTTTCCGTTTCAACATGTTACGCTCTCTAGCGCTTAAAGTTCTTGAAAGACCACCTGGTACCATAGTAGCCACTAGTTCATGAACCTCCTGCTTATGAGGTTGTGGTTGAACAAAAAAGTCTCGAGCTGATGCTTCTCCATTAGTGTGAGCTGCTCCGCGATGTCCTAAGAGATCTTCGTCACGAATCATATCATTGACATCCATGAACTGCTCGCATCCATCAAGTCCTGAACCAACCTCCATGATACCCGTTAGAACCACATCTTCACTAAAAATAGTCTCAAGTACTGCATGCTTTCTTGAGGCACCTGCAGCGATCGACTGATATTGTACAATGGAGCAACATATGCAAAGTGAGAAGCTCACCAAGATTCACACAAAGCAATAGTCATGCATCGTGTCAGATTAATTTATAACAAAATTTCCTAAAGGACCCTCGTTTGAATAACTTGACAAGACGAACAAGAAAAATAAATACATCTAACCTAAGCGGCGACGCAGATTCTGTTTCTGACGAGCCAACCGTTCAGCAGGGGTTTTGGAGTTGTCAACTCCCACGTCATATTCTTGTCCTCCAGATGATAACAACTGGGCCCCATTTTCAAGCACTCCTTGCATGTCAAACCTGCACGTCGCAAGAATTAATAAATTGCAGGAATCCTGGAGAAGCTTTCAAAAACCCTAATCCGACATTCAATTAAAACTGCTAGCTCATCAGTTGCTCTAAACCGAATGCATAAATCCTCTTCCAGATCTAGCCATCCGCAGATTTAACCCGATCATTCATAGACACATCAGACAAAACAACAGTCATCACAAACAATCAGCACATGAACTTGATAGATGAACGTATTAACAGAAGAATACATCAATAAGACCTGCTTCTTTAAATACGTAATAAGAATTTTTACCTCTGGAAAGTAAGAGCACCATTTTCACTCTCATGGAAAACCAGGTTCTCTAAATTGCTCTCAATGTGGCCCTTCTCTCCTAATTCTGCTTCAGCTTTTGCAAGCAAATCCTTCACGGTTACATGCGGCACATTTTCTGCAATAGCTCCAATGGCTTGCGCAGATGCCACCCTTGTATCCCAGCTCTTGCTCCGCAAAAATTGCCTTACCTGCAAATATTATAGCATTTGTCATCGCAACTTAAAAGTTGTAAGAGGCTTCTGAACTAGGTGTAACCTCAATCAAAGACACTGCTCAAAGTATAATCTATTTGTCAGCATTGAAAATCTAATTAGAATTATTTTTGTTATTGTTATTGTTGTTATTGTTATTATACCCGTCTAAGAAGTGGTCGAAGTTCTCCTCGGTGCTGCTTTGCAATTTCACCAATTTGTCGAGCTGCTGTCCTCCTTGTGGTTGATGTGGATCCCGCTGTTATTCAATTAAGGTGCACAATCCCTCAACAAAGACATGGAAGACGCACGGAACTTTAACCAACACACAATTAGACTAGAGCCAAAGCGGAAGGATGAGATATCACCGAGAACTTTCAAATGATACCACCTAATGATAGGTTTATGATGGGTCAGACTAAAACGCACAACTTGAAGGTATACCGTGCCTTCCTGTACATCCAGGGTGCAAGGAGAGACCGCAAAAGCAATTTCAAAACATCATGATAAATCTTTAGAACAATCCGGGTGCAAGAAACATCTTATGACATGTCAACGAAGCCATATATATTTATCAAAATAAAATAAAATAAAAATCGATCCACTTCAACATCGGCTTGACGGTCTAACTACTTAGACGGGCATAATCGTTTTAGCATCTGATGGTGAACGTAACTAGACAACAAGAAGAAAGGTAAAAGGGTTTCTCAAAGAAAATCGAAATGGAAGCATGCGCTAGAAGTGTGTGGATACTGTCAAGAAGCGTAAGAAGGCGGTGCAGCCGGGATGTCTGCTGAGCCATTGTGAAAGATGTCACACCTGGCCTCCTCGTTTACACTCGCACACCACAGTCCCGGGACAGCCGCAATACTGCAAGATACGGAAGCCCGATTACTTGGTTCCCCAACTTCTGCTGAAGTTTTGCCGGATAACCAGAATCTTGCCTTTCCATATCCTTCCTCACCTCCACGTCCACTCCTCTCAACAACGTTTACATCCCAAAATCCACTCACATAAATGGGAAATGAGCAAGAAAGGGACACAGTTACCCCTGAAATTCACACTCACAGCCGTCCATAATCACCACAAATCAAAGGATTTCAATTCTGTAAAATGCCTCCTTCAACTCAGGAATCATATGTAGCAGCAGCAATCGCCGACTTCGAGAGCTTCCTTCAAATGTCCATCATGTGGCGCATCCTTGAAAGTAAGCGAACAATATCACCTGTACAAGACATTTGAGAAAGAAAAACGAAAATATAAGCAAACCAGAACGAATATGAAAATTTCCATAAAGAAAATTAAAACTATTATCACCCAATCTCCAACTTAATATCAGACTTCAAAATAAATGATGCTCGACTGATCTGGACCGCAGGGCTGCAATATACTTCTCATGAATATTGAGCAGAACAAGGGTTTAATGAGCAGAACAAGGGGAAATCCACCTCATGAAGCGTGATTAACTGTAAGCTGGAAGCATTTAGTCTATCTGGAATATCATGAAAAGCAACTTTCTGAATGCCTCTCAAATGACTGCGCATCATGTTCAAGCATACAAACGAAGGAGATTGAAAATGGATGAGGGAAAGAAATATTGAATACAGAATTAAGTCCAAAGATCATTTCAGGTCTTCTTGATGCTAGTAGCTGAAAAATATTTAACTGGTTGGAAACGAAAATTCATTGTAGCAAGACGAAGGAGCTTTAATCTATGATCTGTTCATGCAAATATTAAGCAACATAAATTTGTACAATGCCCGCTTATTCTGCTCTGGACCCCCAAACTTCAATTGTGTGGGATGCAATCCCCTAGAAGTAGGTAATAGAAGACATAAAAAGAATATTGGCATGTGGAATGATACAAGTCCCTTATTGAGTTCCTGCTACTACTCTACAAACAGACTATTCAGATGATCTCATGTCAAACCTCATGGAGATTGACCTATCCCTATGGCGGCTAAAAAAACCTCCATATACGGCCATTCGAGCCAGATAAGCATCTTAATGCTGTTCAATAAAGCACAACGGTAACAGACATACTCACATAATGACCTAAAAAAGGTAGAACCATCTATTTGGTACTTGTACTCTGCGTACTGATTAATGATTAACAAAACATCTTTGTAACAGCAATCTTCAATTTCCCTTAACCACAATCTGATGCTTGACTTTAGGACCAATAAGGTTGTATCTAAAAAGAGGGTAATAAATTACAAGGTTTTTAACTCCTACCACTACTACTAAAATCAGCTCGAGCTCATAAAACGTGAAATAATATTAATATTAATACTAATATATCCACCGTACGAGTAGCTAAACCCTTTCGGATACCATGATCGACTTGAAAATATGAATTGAACCTATACTGCTAGAACTGGTGCACCCTTAAACCTAATGAACTTGACCTGATCATTCATCAGGTTTGCTAGGTCGAAGGCATGCAGCTAAGTTCAGCCAAGCTCGAATAGTTCTGCCATGTCTCTCTCAGAAAAGAAACGATCATCACCTCTACCAACCACTCTCGCGCATCACTTTTCCATGGAATTCGAATGCAATGCCCAGGGTAAAAATGGGAACATAATTGAGGTAGAGAAACCATGCAATTTCCAGACTACACAACAGTCGGTGTAATAAAACCTGGAACATGATGATGCGGGCTACGGAGACTAAACACAACGCAGTTCCTGTGAACTTATAAACATGGCTGTCGGTACCTATCAAGAACTGTTCAGATAAGAAACAGCATTGCCTTTAGAGCCTTAACCCCAAGAAGAAAAAGAAGGAGGTGAATGGGCAGATGCCTATGCTACACCGCAAATCAACCCCATGTGTGACACCATGCCCTCTTTTCACAATTGATTCTAAGCGCGCGCAAAGGCCGAAACCATACTCCATACGAGCAGCGAAACTGATACGATGCCAATGAAACCGGTCCCCAAATCCACCAAAAGTCTACACCTATACCACGATCAAGACAGAAAGAAGGTCAATGCCTTGTACCCCAATTGTGTAATTCCTTAGACGTACCCCACACGCACACGCATACTCAAGCCGCCTCGCGACTACCCACGCTCGTTCGCTCAATCTCACCAAGCCGCAGCAAAATATACCTGGTGGGTATCCCCCGAGGGTTCCCGAATCACCGAAAAACACGCCCTGGAGCTCAATGCGCGGCCTACAACGCTCTCGGTGCGGATGCGAACAATTGCACCCAAAACCCGAACCAAGCAATTGCTGGCACCCAACTCCCCCAAAAAACGATAGCGAGCAAAGAAGGGAAGAAATCGGAAGAAACTAATGAGGAGAGAAGGAAAGCAGCAACAAAAGAAACAGAGTAAGAGAGAAGAAAGGAGAAGATTGTCAAAGAGGAGGAAGGGAAGGAAGAGCAGGAGCAGCAGCAGCAACAACAGGAAGAGGAGGAAGAGGAGGGAGGAACAGAATAGTGGGGAAAGGGAGGAATAGAAACAAACAAACAAACAAACAAAAAAGAAAAAAAAAAAAAAAAAAAAAAAAAAAACACGGCGGGTAGTCGGGAGGGAGGGAGGGAGAGAGGGGGAAGAACTGAAGGAAGAAATGAAGGAAGGCGGGGGTCTTGGGAGAGGGTGGGTCTTGGGTGTGGGTCTTGGAGGCGGGAGGGAGTGCAAGGAAGGAAGGAAGTGAGGGAGGGAGGGAGGGATAGATGGATGGATGGATGGATGGATGGATGCTGGGCAGGGCTTTGCTCTCTCCCTTTCTCTCATTCTCATCCGCTCTGCAAGTCCAGTCCACCTCTCCAAGCCCCCCGTCCCCCAACTGCGACGCGCTCTCCCCCGCGCGTCCGACCACGCGCGTAACCGTGCGGGGCTGCGTCCGTCCGTCCGTATTGGCCGCCTGAGCTTTCTTGCGCCGGGTAACTTGGCCGCGCTGGCTGCCACGTCAGCCCCGTCGTCGTCCAGGCGGTGCTGGTTCCTTCCCCCAAGACCCCCCGATCTTCCCGTTTCTTCTCGGGATTCAAAAGGGTTTTGGTGTTTGAAGAGAGATCCCCGCTTGCCCTCCATCCCCCAAACCCCTTGTGAATGCCTTTCACACTTCTCCTTTCTTTCTCTCTCTCTCGCTTTGCTTTTTCTGCCGTGCTCCTGGTCTCTCTCTCTCTCGCTCCAATTCTGTTTGTTTGTATTTTCCAATTCGTTGGGTGATGCTAAAAATTTATTTTGTTTGGTCGATTGAACACTCTAACAAGGGCATTCCTGAGATGTTTTAACACATTTCAAGTGCACCTTACATTTTGTTGACTTTGAGAGTATTTTTCTAATGTTATAGTATAGAAACAGATGTGACCTGTTCAAAGATTTATCTGTATAATGAACTTTGTATTTTTTTCAATGGCATTGATGAAGTTACTACAAAGTGTATATATATGTGTATACTGAGAATTGGAAGAATTTAGTAAATTTAAGCCTGAAAATACTCTATTTTATAATTTGTTGATATTTATAAATCCTTTAATTAACTCAAATTCTTGTAGAATACTATACAGACACACTCCAATTTCTTATTTCTTCCTATTAAGTGCTAGTATTTTTTTCTATTTGTTTTTTTGTATTTAATTAAGAGACATTAGATTAATTCTTCTACTGTAGTAAGTAAGGAGTTTCACAAATAACCTTACATCAAAATTACTGGTAGATTGACTGAACCTTTTTAAACTTGCCTTAATATATCCAGTTTTACTCTAGTTTTTCTCAAAGCTCAAACAAAGGATTGGTTGTAAAATAAATACAAGAACATAAGAATCAGACTAATATTAAAATTAAAATTACACAAAATACATATAAATTAATAAAAATTCATTTTGATTTTTTTTAAAATACAATTGATTTGAAAACAAGTGTCATATGATTCCTATATTTTTGAAAATCAAAATTTTATTTTTGATTTTACAACAGTATATACTTTTATTTATTTAGACAATAAATAAAACATGCAGTAATGTACTAACAAATAGTTGGTAATGTTAAAGTGTATACCTATAAATATACATTCCTATTTTAAAATTCACTAATAAGTAATATATTTAGAAAAAATATATTAAATATTTTTAATTTTGATAGATTAATACTGCAAATCCCTCTACAATAAATAAAGGGTAATATTAAATAGACCCATGTTTTTACTAAATAGACTCAACCTTGATGACAAATATGGTAATCATGATGAATGTGGTTGGTTTTTATTGGTTGCAAATCCAATAGTGGGGAAATGAAACTTGAGGTCATTATTTATTTTTATTTTTTTTCATGATGGTTAGGATGGGTGGGACAATTTAGTAAAAACTTGGGTCTATTTAACATTCCCCCTAAATAAATTGTATGTTGAAAAGATGTTCAACAATCATACAAAAGTACTTACACAATTTCATTACAACCATGAGTTTTATTTTCTTGTCATCCGATGAAAATTGCAAATACAAATCTATTTGGCAGCAGATTAAAAGAAGAGAAATGTAAACACACACAAGAAGAAAATGAAGAAACACAGTTTTATTTATTAGCTTTTGTTTTTGATTTTTTTTTAAAACAACAACGTTCCCACAAAACCCATGCCAAAAATCTGTTGTTACTATTCTTGTAACGTGGATATGCATGATCAAAATAATTATGCAAATGTGTTAACTGAAGAGAAAAAAAAAGTGGCCAGCAACAATAACCAGACCTTACTCAATACCAGGGAGGAGAGGGGCACCAACAGCTGAGCATTAAAAAATCGGCCTTGGAAGACCCAATTTCCTCACATAATCTTGAGCCTCCTCCGCTTTTGGCGAGCCGGCCAATCCCTGGGGGTGGGTGTGGCTTTGAAGCCTCCATCGAATCCTAGGACATTGATGGATCAGGCTTCTTCTTCTGCTGCTGCTGCTGTTTGCTGCTATTCTTGCTCCTCCTCATCCATGACTCCAGCACTGCTCCCCGCAAAGCATAGCCAGATTGCAATCCCCTACGACCCTACAGCCAACTCGAATTCGACTTAGAATCGACTCAATTCAAGCACAGTTGCAAGTGGGAGTGACACAACTTCACTGCATGCCAATGCTACCTCTCCGCCCCCCACTTCAGGATAATATGACGAATGTGTTGTTACCCATTGCTCATCGTGTGGGTGCAGAACCAAGACAGAGATTGAACTTTCGATTGTTTGGAATGCTGTGAGTTAGTCGAGAGGATTCGGGGTTCTTACTTTGTGTTTGAATGTGATTTTTCTTTTTTTTCTTTTTTTTCTTTTTTTTTGTGGTTTTGTTGTTGCTTTATCTCAATGGTCCCAGGTCCTTGCAGTCTAGAAGCCTCACCTTGGCACCATGGACTCCGACGTGCTGATATTGTCAGCTCCTTCGGGATGGATGCGCCACTGGGTCGATTGACTCGTCTCTCGCATCCTAGAACTCTCAAGTTTCCACTTTGCAGCAAGAGTTCCGTGCCAGTGCAATCCCGCTGTCGGCAGTTTCACGCTGAGAGACTAAGTTCGAGAGTGCCATTGCCGTCGCGCGCCATTAACCGCCCAGGAATTCTGTCAGTGCGGCACCACGAGCGATACAGGGATCTTTTGGTGTCTACGAACTGGAAGGACATCGACATTGCAGAATTGCGGGCCTTGTTGACCTCCACTTCCCAGAACTGCGATCAGTTTTCCAAATTTAATCCCGATGGGTCACTGCTCCAAGTGAATCCGGTGAAGCTTCAACGCGCAATTCAGCATAGCTTCATCGTGGTGGCGATGTACATACGAGGGGAGCTGGAGGAAGATTACTTTCCCGACCGACCTGAGGCGGACACCAACACCCGTCCCTCGCAGAAGCGAACATTGATTGCCTTTGGGCGGGCCACTTCTGATCGCACCCTCACGGCCTCCATCCACGACGTCGCCGTGGCGCCATCACTCCAAGGGGAAGGAATTGGTCGCCGTCTCATGCTGCGGCTCGTGCGAGACATTTCGCGGCACGGCATCTGCGACATCTCTGTGATGGCCGGTCGTGACACCAGACCTTTCTTTCGGGCGTGTGGATTTGGGTCTGACGTCCTGGGATCCACGTCCATGATGTACACTGCTGTAGAGGATTGCAGCGACGAGGAGAGCAGAGCTCCGGCTCTGCTTGTCCCGCCCCCTCTTCAAGAATCCTGGAGGGCGAAAGCAGCGCGTAGCAGAAAAAACAATGTATCAGCAGTTTAGGGACTGAACTAGTCGTCATTAGAAATGTATTATATGCTTTTCACAACAATCAATTCTTCTCCTCATCCATGAGTTTCTAGCGTATGGGCCTTGAATGTCCTCGAGCCCTGGCTGTCTTCGAGTATTAGGTGTCTGTGGTATTGAGAGTCCAAGTCGGCTTGATTTTGATCACGTTTTGCGTCGTTGGTTGCAATGCTTCCTCTTTGTGTGCTAATTGCTTTCTGACATCCGTCACGAGTGTGCTGATTTGAGTTAGCGATGTGTGGAAATGATCATTGTAGTTGTAAACAACTGGACTCGTGGATTAGCGGAGTAGCGCTCAGTTGGTATGGAAATCAATTTGAAGAGTCATGTGTAGATCTTCCAGAAAGAGTTTCAGATGCCTTGAAACCGCGACCGAACCTTGATAATCATAGCGGATCGAACTGAAGTGTGTTGAATTCAGCATTCTGTTCAGAATGCAGAGGAGGCCTTCGAGTTTGCGACACTGCGAGATAACCTGCAGCAGCGCTACGTGATATAGTGTCTAGAACAAGACGGAATCGTGCAACTAAGACAGGTCTCTGTATACAGATAAATTGACTGTTATTGGTTTGCAACAACTCCCTCCCAGAGTCGGATACAAGCTCATATGTCGGCAAGCTTTACAGTGAATGATAGGGCATGTAAGTTACCAGGTCCCCATTTAGGTTCTATATATTTTGTCGTTAGCTGACAATTGGCAGCTCGTTTGGTCATACACTCGAATTGGATATCATTACCTTGTAACAAACCATAAGAATTTACAACAAATACTCTACATTTGCGGTCTTGTTTGAACAATAAAAAGTTCGTTATCCTTGACTACACCTTCAATGTCCTGGGCACATTGGAGATTCTTCTCAATCGCAAGTCCGGCCTCAGCAATTTTTGTAAGTATTGTCTTTTGGAACGCCTCGTCCAAGATCAAACGATCTGTTGAATAATCAACTACTCTTTCTTCTTCTTCGTCCATGGGTACACTGCAGTGCAACCAACAGCACTCGCGTGTTATCACAGTTTGGATGAGTAAATCAGATGCGAATCAAACGTCTGCAAATAACAGCGCCCAATTGCCTTTATCAGAAAGGAGCAGGCGATCATCCAGGTAAAGGAAACGTACCTGTCATAAAGACCAGCTCCTGCATAGCCCTCTAAGTCTTCTCCATTCGAATCTGACCTGAAGATGATTGATTGCCTTATGAATAATCCCACTCGTTTGCTAGGATAACCTAACACCTGCCAAGCGAGACAGAGTTACTGAAGTCGAATATGAGCGTCTCGTGCAGTACAAGCCAATTCAGTTTAAATGCACAGGTGATCGATGGAGATACAAGCTTTACAAGATTGTGAAACATTCTGCACAATTTCTGATTGTTAAGTAAGATGCATGAAGCTAAGCTCTGCTTTCGGATGTCCCAAATTACATATGGCCCTGGAAAGAGAAGACTGCTAATTACACTTTCAGAGCAATAAACTCTAACCAGGTAGATGGGTAAGCAGGAACCTTCGGATTTTTCATGTCGGATTTCTTGGTAACAAAACTAAGGGCACGGCCTGAATATGCTCCCACAAGTGTCTCTCCCAAGCCCTTAACCACCTGTTAGATTCAAAACAGCATTCGAATGATCAGAGTCCATTACCATATTTTTATCTTGAAACTGCAATTTCTTCAGACATTTGATGATACGGATATGATAAGCTTGGATCAATGTATTCAGCATAACATTTTCGTCAGCCAAAACCAATACAAAATCGCCTGATGTTGAAATTAAGATTCATCCTGTTGTCAAGTGTTGCACTGTATAAGGAATGCTAAGGAATAACCTCCGCATAAATTTCAGTTTCATCCCCAGTAGATGGATTGGTGGTATGAATGACAAAGGCATAATCAGCTTGGATTATCTCTTGAACCAATACCGCCATGCACAAGTCGCTGTGGTCTATATTGGTTTTGCGGGTGCTGAAATAGGCCCTCTCATTCCATTTTGAAGCCCATACCTATATTCCAGTAGCCTCAAATGTAAATGTGCGTTACCAAACACTTCCCCTCAAAACCTAGTGATAACGAGCTAGTTTGCTACATTTATTTGATCATGTTATACAATTTACAACCAACTTCAGAAGCAGCACAAGCCTATTTTTAGACTAGCCTATTTTAAATAGCCCACTTACGGGTATAAAATCTAGAACCTGTATGTTGATTTTCAAAAACTGACTGGAACAGTACATCGAGACGTGAAATCTTCGACGCCAATATCGAAGGAGTGCTTTCGAGGAAAGCGCCCATTCTCCCAGATTAAGATTACAACACCACGTGACGTGAACAAGGGGTGGGGAGGCTTACTCGTTTAATTGCGGTCCAGGCTTGCTTCCATCTTTCCTCACTCTCATCCCCAGGCCATGGCATGCCTGAGCTTTTCATGACTTCTTCTATTTCATGAATCTGTTGACATTCCGGGATATGTTTATGCCATCAACAAAAATACATGAAAACTGCAGCGTGTTCAAAACCAATTGTTGTACTACTGTAAGACCAAGATACATGGACGTATGGAGTTGAAAATTGGATCTCGAAGTTCAGCGTTCTGAAAAGTTAATGGAACTTAATAACAAAAACTTTAAACAATTAGTCTTCTTTATGATAGTATTGAAAACAGATAAACTTACCAGCGCTGGAGGTGCTTCTAAGCGTAACACAGTCTTTCGAATATCTGTCAGTTTACTGTAATCGCCTTCATACAAATGCTTGTTCATAATTGCAATTTCTGAAGCCACATCCTACGATAAGAGATGAATTCAAGAGACATAAGCACATACAGAAGGGTTACTTAATACACTTCAACTAATGCAGCAAATACTCTCAAGAGAAATCATGATAAATATCAACAAGAGAACCGGCATGTTCGAACGGACTAAATGAATAATGCCGCAAACTATCAAAAGGTCATGGATAGCTGAATCGATAACCAACACACCTTGTTAACACTTTCTGTTAGCACTTTTTCAAACACGCCAAATGGCACTGCAACAGATGTTGGAAGACGGATCCACGAGGGTAGTTTGCCCATTAGATTAGCAATGTTGCGAGACTTAGCACCAACCTGCACAATGAGGCCACAACAATTTCCCGGTCATCCCCAAGTTCACAACAAGATTGTAATCGACAAGATCATGTTATGTGCATATTCAGGTGATTCACTCAACTCTGAATTTATGTACATTTCATGTTGTGAACATCCACACATCGTATTCAAAATGAAGTTGTCTGCATAAGAAGTGTTCTATTTCCATGTTAAGCTGAACTTACCAGATCCAGATTAAAGTCCTTCGATGATACTGCATACTTTCCGAGGAATTCTTTCTTCTTCAGAGTGATCCGTGGAGTAGGTGTGGTACTTTCTTCCACACTGTTCGCACTGAAAATATCTGAATCACCGATGGCACTGCAAGGAGTGGAAATCATTAAAAGGTACAACTGTTACCAGTCTAAGGAGACGATTGTTCTCAAAGCTCACACCGCATCAGCTTCGGCCCTTTTTTCATTACTGACACACAAAAATATCCAGAACTAAAAGTGCCTCACTGAATTATGTGCAAAAGCCATTTAGTGACTCACTGGTAAGATAAGTCCGCATTCGTTGACACAGAGACTGCAAGCGCCTTCATATCTTTATGCCGGAGATCAGAGAAGACACTTGAATCAAAGCATGTTGCAAAACAAACCTGCGAAGTCCAGAGCCCAGGAGTTTAAGATTGGACAAAAAGAACGATATATTCACTCACGCTTCTAAAACTAACACATCATATCGCTGCTGTCATCCAGTTCTGATGCAACGAACGTAGGCTTCCGAATCCTACTATGTAAGTGGAATATAAATACTATAGGGGGTTGCTGTAAATCTGTCTAAAAGTCAGGAAAGGACTTGTTACATGAGTAATACTTATCATGAATAATCACTATTCGACATCGAACAGATATTTTGTGCAGAAGGGTCACCTTGCTATTACGCGCACGGACTGAAACATGGGAGAGGACATCAGGCATGTCAGGTGTCAAGACGGCAACAACCCCTTCGGGAATTTCTTCCTCGCCTTTTACGCGCCCTGAAACCAAAATTGTGGGCCTTTTGTATACCTTCTCTTGCACCTGATCTAATCCATCAATCACTTCCACATACCCCTTAACGCTGACAGGGCTGATAACCTGCCAGCTGCAAATTGCACCACACAAAATTAGATCGAGTCATTAAACTGCTGATGAATATAGCTTTTCAAATGCATAGACGTCTAGAAGAAAGTTTATGCAATTAGGGAAATTATCTTAAAAAAGGGGCAGTAAGGGAAGTAATGACGAGTAGTGGGCAAGGTAAGAAAGATGAAAAGAACTCCAGTATATTTAAAGAATTTTTTTTAATAACACCTCACGAAGACGCATGGCCCATCTGAAGAACACAAGTAAATTGTCTACTAACCTGCCCATGGTTGCCTCTTTTCGAATAACTGGATCGAGCCGGTTTAAAAGCTGTGAAAGCGCTGCTGCTGAACCAGAGCGTATCATTTCCTCAGTAAAAATCTGGACCTGCGCATAGTAGTGCTTGATAAGACAGCATTATTGGTTCTTATATTTGCTCTCACCTATCACATAACAGTCTCTTCAATCCAAGAATTCTGGTAGATTATGGTTTATTATTTTCTGCTGTAAAACTAGTGGATTACATGTAAGAGTGTTTCTTGATACTACAAAGCCTTGGATAAACATATTTCAAAATTATTAGAGACAGGTTCTTGATTCATCAAACACATTATGAAACAAAAGACCAGAACCAGGTTGAAAGTTGGCAGTCAAGGTAAACTTACAGCCCACTCTTCGACACCAAGCACACTTCCCAGATAATCTGCGGTTGGTTGAAGAATATTCTGGAAATATTCAGCCTTGTCTTGCAATGCTAACTTGGTACGATCAAGCACTGCCTTTGTTCGCAATGCCCAGTTATCAGCTTTCTTGTTAATTATGTCAAGGACGAGATACCAGTCCTGCAAAAGTTGAACTTATCATACCACTAACACTGCCAAGTACTTTCAGTAAGACAATTCATTCGAGCATAATATTAAAAGGTTGGATCTGGTATTAATAAGGAACATGTGAATGAAAGAGGTTTCAACGACAAGAGACACAATTAGATCAGCAGAAAGACCTCAACACCACACCTGCATCCCTTCAGGATTCTCAAACTTACCTTCAAACAATAAACAAGCTCTTCATTGCTGTCGCTTGACAATGCTAGATTCTCAACCACAATACTGACGATCGTAGCTATTTCCTGCATCAAATATACATGTAGAATATGACTTCAATGAGTCAACTCATTTGCAAAGCAATAGTAACTGTTGAGGGTGGTAAGTGCACCAACGTAAGAGCAGTATAAAGTCACACTAATATTACGAAGAAGCACACGAAGAAGCATACGGGCTTTTCAAGAATGAACAGGTGTATGGATGTAGCACCAAAAATAACATAACATAAAATAAAATAAAATAAAATAAACAATAATAATCATAATCATAATAATCATAATAATCATAATCATAATAATCATAATAATCATAATAATAAAAAGTGGAGTATGAGGGGAAAGCAACATAAGTTACAATGCAGATATGATGACAGCTCTAAAAGAAAGAAACTTACTGCTGGTCCTCTCTCGCTTATGCTCTCCAATCCTCTCTCAACAGCTGTTCTAACAGTTGATTCTAAAGCTAAGTCCAAGAAGATGATATCTCGCAATCGCTCGTGGGGCTTCAATAGAGTAGGCCTCAGTTCTCGTCGAGCTTCCAAAAGTCCCTGACATTGTTTTTAAAATGTCATACAGCTTACTGACAGAATTTCAACTTTCATATTCACATTTCGAACGCCCGATCCATGCAAGGAAAACCAGCCGACTCTAAAACTTACCAGGTCATATGGTCACAAGCATAGTCATAAGATTCTAATAGCGTGACAGGGTTAAATTCCATTCTGTAACCGCTCATGGTGGCTGCATATGTAGGGGGTGAGAAAAAAGTTAAAAATATTTTAAAAACTAGATATTAAAACTGCAATACAACACATCAGGAAACAAGTGTGTAATACCTCCAGAAGCGAGAGAACATTCTTATCTTCTACGTGCTCCAGCACGAAGTAAAGTAGACTCTGAAACACGTGCATCAATGAAAGATGAATAAGCACAACTGTCGGTGGTTTGGTGATAATACCAGAAAATCAAAAGATGCAAGGCATGTTACTACCTATCATGTTTAGTTTCAGATAGAGAGACCTGAATGTGAGTAAGAACTTCTGCTACTCTCCTGGCATGAATACTTCTCGCAGTCACCAACATGAGAGGTAATTTGATTTTTTAAAATTTAAATGAGCTGTAACTTCGAGTTCGAAAAAGACATACCGGTAAAACAGGCGGCAATCCAATAATCGGTTCTATCTTAAGTCCTCCCATGTGACGACGTCCCTGCAGAAATACCAAAATTGAGATGTACTTAGTGTGGCATTTTCGGACAAATGCTGCACCTATTAAACAAACCAGCTTCTGAAACATCTAATATTGAGAATGCAAAGATCAGTTCAAACTAGCCTAAGTGTCAACTAATCAATTATCAGGAACCTAAAAAGCTTACGAAGGGACTAGAACCGCTGTCGACCCGTTAATTCAAGGAAAGGTGATAAAAGCAAATAAATAAAATAAAAACGAAAAAGGTTACGTGAAAGAAAAAAAGATACTCGCTCAAAGAAAGATGCTTCGAAATCTACACGGATTGACCAACCTGAGCCATGTAGCCTAAACAATTTTGGACGGCAGATTCCAGATCTGCACCTGAGTGGACAGCCTGGTTCAACAAAAGTATCTAGTAAGCAAAGAATGGCCATACCATACAGAGTACAGAAATAAGACGAGAATATATTTAATGCAGTATTCAGAAATCTTATTAAGATAGCTACCTAAGTCAAGGTCCATTCTACACAAACAAAATCAAGACAAGAGAAATTCACATTCAAAATTAAAATGAAAAGAAAAATGTCTAGTATTTGCCTTCAATGTCCGTAGATAATTCGTCAGGTCACGTATCAGCCCATCCTTTTGGTCAGCTCTGAATTTAGGTTCTGACCGAACTGGTCGGTCATAGCTTAGCATCCGCTCCTTGGTGACACCGTTCTCATTCAGGGTCTTCCAGTAGACGTCCATATTGAAGCCAGTCTTGATATAGTTCAGAAGCGCCTGCAACGGTACATGCAGGTAGTCTTCAAATTTCAATCTCATGCATGCACACAAATGCACAACTACACGAATTCAGTATCTCACCCAATCATATATTCAGTATTTTCAAGGTTTGTTGGGTGTACTCTGAAAGTCATCGCTTAAAACCCCTGAAGTACTAAGTAGGGTCACCGAATATTTACGATCAAATGGGCATGTACCTCGCATATTATGACATCATCAGGACTAGTGTTGTTGTGAAGCTTCTGATGCCATTCTTCCATCATTCCACCTTTACAGTCATTTTCGCGCTGCAAACCGTGGCATTAGGTAGAGTAAGTACAGACGATTGAAAAGTCCATTACGTAGTACTAAGAGCCTTGAAAAGTGAAATTGCAACATTTTTTATGTACGGACGATAACAGAGCAGTGAACTCACTTGGATAACAAGGATCTCATCACGGATTCGTTGTCCCACGTCTCCCTGTCCTCCACGACCAACGGTTGCCATAATAAGACGAACCAATTCCCTTTTCTCAGGCTGCTCCAGAAAAATTCGTTGCAAAAGAAGGGTCATTCTATCTTGAGCTGCACTTATCTCTCTGTCAAACAACGACAAGAATTCGCACTCTCTCCAATTTAGAATGTTTTAATTGGTGACATGAAAGGAAGGGTGTTTAAGTCAGCTTCGTATCATTACTAAATTACAGCGTCATCATTAGCATTTCTAACTGCATAGATGTTTTACCAGGATGCAGAGAGCAGTATGGCATGATATAACGTCCAAGATAACTATATAACTCTCGAAGGAGTAGAGAAAATAATCAACCTCGGTTTGACATTGTAGTTCTTGTTCCAAACCAGTTGTCTGGTGGCCATGTAGCGCAACCACGCTAGTATTCCAACTAAAGCAAGCGTTCCCTCGTTCTTAGCCCGTTCAGTCAATTCAGTTGCGATATTGTATCTGAAAAACGAAGGGGTTAAAGATAAGAAACTAGAAAATTTCTTGAAGTTTTCGAAGAATTTATGGGTTGAAAATCCGCTGAAGTTGGCACCTGTGCATGAGGGATTTCTCAGCATCACGTTCCTGAGTTGCAACGTCATCAAGGAATGCCTTTGCAATGCCTTTTCCATCCGTAGCAACCTGTGAAAATTGCAAAATTTAGCATGAAACATAGAGGAACTATGAGATTATTTTTAATATCCATGAAGAATGATCTGCTAAATTAAGTTTTTCGTCTTAATATCATTGATGCTGAGCTCTTAAAAGATTTCTTTGACAAAGTGAACATTCAGGTTTTATAGTAATAGAGAGATTTGCATGCCGCTCTCATGATACCTTGACCGTATTCTTGACCACTGGCTTTATTGGTAGATAGTAGTCAGACCCATTATCCTTGTGCCATGTATTTCCACTTCGCAATACGAATGGTAGGCCAATAAATTTGTTGTCTCCTAAATTTAAAGTCACACCCTGAAGCATAGAGAAATTGAAATGAGTACGTATGATAAATGTGGGAGTTTTTACATGTGATCACAAGTTTTGCAATCTTCGAGTAAGAAAAACAAAGACAAGAGCACAAAACATCTGTAGCACTTCAAAGATAAGGGTTGATCAGCTTCCATCTGCATTGAAGAAAAGCCGTACAATCTGAAGACGACACCGGTACTCAGAAGTACCCAAATCAATATCTACGAGTAATGTTTGTTTTCCATGAATTTCTAAGTAGGAGTATTAAGGCAGAAACATCATCCATCTATGTCCGCATAGATTAGAAGAATCCGTTTTGGTGCTTTAGAATGACGGATCGAAGAAAACACTGATGCGAAGGTATGTAGGCAAAACCTGAAGAGAAATGTCCCCAGCAAAGCCTTTTATAAACTGAGTTTCAACAGTGCCTCCCAGGGAGGTGGATTCAGCGGGTACAAGTGTCTCTGACGGTGACTGCGCCAACACTAACCGGTCAAGTAAGAAATCCTACACAGATACGTTAGCAATTTTTTCCATCTTGGAAGAAAACTTGATGCTCGATTGATTAACGCATCAAAACACCCGTTGTTCGGAGTTGATTTTTTTAATAAAAATTTGTAGAACGTACCATCCATTCTCTTTCTTTGTCTTTCGACACAGCCCAACGTATCACAAGGTCCTCCTTGAAGCCCGTACCAATATGAATGCGCGACTTACCCTCCGGCCTTGTTGCAAGTACCTGCATGGCATAGATTGCTCATAAACAATGCATATGATCGATTAAATGTTAAACTATGCGAGAAAAAGCCTTTAGTGCGAAAGATTCCAGCTGCTTCACTAGAAAAGTGCTTTTCGGAAACAGTGTCTGTTGGGGACTAAAACATGTTCAGACAAGAGGACGCATTCATTACAACGGATACGAAGCCAAAAGAGAAGATATACAGAAACTCCTTACCAGAAGCTCGTCACCTCCAACCTTAAAAAATTTCTTCACTATGACCTCATCGTTGTCAGCAGCTTCCAAATTTTTTGCAGCTTTCTGCAACGTGGTAGGTTCTTGAGGTGGAAGAGAGGAACCAAGTCCAACTGATGCATCTAGTGTGTACCTGCTGAGAAGCTCCTCTGCACTCCACGTTTTCCTATTAACTTTAGCCATCAGATTTTTCCCTAGAACCTTGATTTCCCCGATTTCCTCCTGAGGCTTCACACGGTTGTCGTCACTTTTACTTACTGTGCTTGAATCCACTTTCTCAGACCCCCCTCCCAGTAACCTTGCTTTGAGTTGGGTTATGGAAACCCCCTGAGCCAACTCCAACTGAAGCTCCTTTCTTGCTGCCTCGTATTCAACCTGTCATTCACACTTCAATTCACTCACAATTCCTCCTTAAATTCACAGAGTAACTATATTAGTCAGCACTTCGAAGAAGTCCTTGATCACAAGTAAGCAAGAGCGAGCGTGATGTGAACAATTCTCTACTACAATCTGTCTCAATTGAGACATTTTAACTAGCAGTAGTGTTGCTGTTTGGTAGGCACACTCGTGTGTTTGAACGAGAGAATTGTGTCTAGGCCCTACAAAAATCAGAGAAAACTTCGTCTTAAGTACACTTCGGACCACATATCACCTTTTCGTGTTCAGGGCTATAATTCTGTCTTCCCTTACGTTCCCATCGTAGATAGGCTTGGACTCCAACAAGTTCCTCCGGAATATCATAATTAGAGACTTTAAGGCTTGGCGGAGGAACATCAATGCGCAGGTTTGAATTGTTCATCTTAAACCTACACAAGATATAGACTTGGAAGCCAGGCTGTAATGTACAAGAATTTGGAATATGAGCAAGTTTTTATCACTGTTCACTTTCAAGATTGATCCATTTATGCTCAAGTCAAAACTAGATCAATGGGGCCCTCGGATCAAATAGACAGACTGCTGATTAGCATCAAATGCATTGAAAAAGACATGAACATCTTTTCTGACAGCACAAAGAGATCTTACCAGCGATTTCTGTTTCTATCAACCAAGACGAACTCGATCGCGTTAATACTGAGATCATCAAAAACAACCTTCAAAGAAGCTGTGTCGCCAGACTGCAATATCCAGCAGTCCATCATCAATTAGCTCACAGAGTCGTAGTATGTGTAACTTGGAATTTCTCAACTACGCCACACTATATCACCAGTAATTGGCATTCTTTTGCTTTCAGTTATGCTGCATAAATAGATCAAAGTCCTCTATTCGATTAAATCAAGTCCTTAAAACTGATGATTCAAAATCCTACAAAGCAGAAAGGGCAGAATTGTCTATAGAACTGTAGTCTCTTACAAACTAACCTTCTTAAACGGGGACTGTACTGCTCCATGCTTTACTTTGCTTCCGTCTGGCAGGTTTCCCGGCACAATCCAAGCGCTGTTTCAGTCACAGCACGAAATACCTCGAGAGTTAATATCAAAAGATACTTACAGTAGACAAGCAAAATTGCCAATAACCATCATTTGTGTCCCTAAACTATAAGAAAACTGCTGAAATAAACGGATTAATTTTCTGCTACATGAGCCGAACTTGACAAGGATGAACTTGTAGCAGAGTCTTTTACCCATTTCCCGACTGTAATGCACCCCAATGCAGAAGTAGAGAGTCAACGTTGCAATTACAAACTTCCAGCTGGACATGTGCAGGTGTGCCGACTTCTGCACCATGGGCTCTCACCTGGAGGTAAGAGCAACGTAGCAACACAAAAAAAACATTATTCGAAAGATTCATAAAGTAGCTGCAATAGCCGCGCAGAAATAACCTGCCGAGCTGATCTCAAAATAAACTCAAGAGTCCATTGCACCTTATCAGAAACTATTCGCATCAAGAAGTTCCCGCTTTATCTTCCCTTTCGTGTAAGCTTAGAGTGAAAAATGTGGAAAACATAGAGCCTTAGATATTCAAAAACAATCTTTGGCAAATATCTAAGTCATACAGCATTCTTCAGCTGTTCTACAAATGAGTTCACGGAAAGAAAAGTTGTTACGAAACAAAACTGAAAAAATAAAGGAAGTGCACAAACCAACGTGGCACTTAAAACCTGCAACATACCTTAAGCTTGATACCATCATCAATCGTGAACTCGTTGATCACCTACTTGAACACAACAACGCAAAGTTGTTAGATGAGACATGAACGCTGCAATCATTCAAGATTACTACTAATGAGAATACGATTAAATAATGTGCACTCACCCCCATTACATCAGATGATGTAGCAATTGCAGCTCTCGGTGATATCAATGAAAATCGCTTCGGCGGCTGCCCCCTTCTAGATATCGTCTTTGCCAGAAAATGAGGATTTTTTGCTAAGAAGCTTCTCTCTGAACCTGGAATATTTAAGGCCTGAATGATAGAGCAGGTACAGAATGGAAATCGGACATAGCGAGGGCTGGATCCTCGGGCGACATCTACGGATTGGAACCCTGCCAAGCATGATACAGAATGACGATTCGACTGAGCTCTGAAGCTCTTCATTACAAGGTTGTGCGCTCTCACATGAACTCTGGAAGTCGATTGCCTGACAGAAGAATGAGAGAGAAAGAACTGCTTTGCGTGGCTTCAATGACGATTTACGACGACCTTATGATACTTGAATTGTTCTGTTTGCAAAGTCATGAGCTGATTTCTGAAACCAATGAGCTATAACTTGTGAGAAAAAGAAAATCCGAGATGTCAACAAAAACTATTCCACTAGAACCATAATTGCGCAAAATTTAGCATGGTCACACAAAAAGTGGTCGCAGAAAACAAAAGTAACGAGACTGAAAGCAAATTCTATCAGTTGCTTCGCCAGACAGAGTACAAATATTTGATCAACGCGATAAAATACTACACAAACACGCAAATTAGACACAAAAAACGTCAAGAATAAGCTGCTAATTCCGTAACACAAGCAAACATTACACAACAGACAATGCGAAATCGGACTTCTCAAAAAAAATAAAAAATAAAAAACATCCATACACAGCACAGCTCCAAATAGGACGGAAAGCTCGAAGATCACCTCGGCAACGCACGCGGCCTAAAATCCTCGGCACTTCAAGTTAGATACCAAACAAGGAAAGCAAATCGAGATAAAAGGCACGCAAATCAACGATCCATGTCGCAAGTTTCCCAATAAAAGCATGCGAGGAGTGTGTTCGTCAGGAGCTGGCACAAGCTTCCGCAGTGGAACACGACGAGGTACAATTCAAGGAGAGGAAACGCTTGCGATTGTTCGAACACGAACAGCGAGAATGTGAGGAGCGCAGGAGGGTGCAGGATCGGCGCATCGAGCGGCCACTGCTTTTGGTCGAGCACAAGAGTTGTGCCGATGCGGAGCTGAATTCAATGGCCGAAAGCAGCGCGGTCAAGGCCATGGCCTTCATTGGGTTCATTGGCTCCTCCTTTGGGTGCCGGGAAAGCCCCCTTCCCCTGTATTCGAGTCCTAGTTTGTCTTGTTGCCCGGTGAATGAATGGATGAAATCCCGAAGACTGTCTCCGTGCCATCTCTGTCCATCCTCGTTCATCCTCTAGTTCCGATATTCGATAGTTTATTCCATTGTTCTGATACACATTGTTTGGATTTGTTAGTCTGCTATGGATTTGTTTTCCATTGAATTGTGAAATGTGACGACTGAAGTCATGGATAGTTTTCTGATGTTGAAGGTGGTGGGCTCTAAGTTAGTGGAGATTGAGATAGGTGCAATGAAGGCCACAGTTTATTTGAACACAAAAAATAATGATGAAAAAACAAACAACAAATATATATATATATATATATATATGAACCTAAATCACTTATTTATAATAACTTGCTGAAATTTTAGTAAGTCTTGACAATCTGACAACATTGTATTGTTGTTTTTAATCTTTGCAAAGCAAAAACGTAATTGAAGATTGGTTTGTCATTGAAATGCCATGTTTTCAATAAATTGAACATTCTCATTGCTGATAGAAAACACTCTCAAAAAATGTTGTAAAATCATACAATCTTATTACTTCACACTTGTATGTATGTATGTATGTATGTATGTATATATATATATATATACATATATATATGAAAACAACATCTCAAAAAAATACAAATATATAAACACATATGTGTATATGTATCTATGAGTCATGCATGATTTACTTCATTGGTAATGCAATTATATCAATGTTGGTAATATTTCCTTAAAAGAATATTTACGATATCAAAATGACAAATTGGACTTATGAGTGACATAAATGATTTTCCTATTTAAAGTATTGTCATTTTTTAAATGACCACAAAGAAAAAAATTATTTGGAATTATTAATAAGAAATCACGAATCATTAAAGATGGTTAAAGCATTAAGATATTAAGATTCCAAAACTCTTTCTGCAATAAATAATCCTTTAGAGGATTATTTTATTTCTTTCTTTACTGGTAGAATTCCATAGATAAACAATCTGTAGACATGTTTGTGGGCATGTAGTGAACATCCCATCTCTTAGTCTCAATGTGGACACCCTCACTTTCTAATGGTGAAATCATGTGGGTTCATCTTGTAGAACAAGCTTGGGATACAGAAGCAGCACCAGTAGGCGTCAAATTAGTGGGGAAGAACACACCTAATCCCCCTTTTATGAAAATTAGGTTAATTAACTTAGAAAACAAAATCCAGTGAAAAGTTTCCAGTTCTCTCCGTCGCAGTTTAACACCGACCAGTTTGGATTGGCTTTTGGTTGTCTCTCGTTCTATCTTCACGTTGCATGGCAAGTTCACCAGTTCAAGCAAAATTCATAGCGAGGGAATTTTTGGAGGGTCAAGTTTGTTAGTGCCCTTTGCAAATCGCCGCGTATTCACCGACTCATTTGCTGATCCCACCACCTCCCCCGAATAGGTGGATTCGGAGCCTGAATCTCTGGTGTTGGCCGGATTGGAGTTTTAGTTGGGCTATGGCGGATTGCTGCCCGTCTCCACTGGTTTGAGGTCATGGCGCTGTGCCATCTCGGTGTTCGTTTTCCTCCTCAAATCTGCTTTGCGGCTGCTCTGCCTCGTGTGAGTCGCTACTCAACTATCTCTGGTAGTTCTGCGTCCTTGACTTGGAGTTTTGAAAGTTTTTGCGGCGTGTCGCGAAGTACTCCTCACCGTGAATTTGGACGAAAACGGGTGGGAGGATTGAGCAAAGTGAGGCAGGCCGTTGTGCGAGCGGGAATGCTGGAAGACGTTGCGAACACGAAGATTCCTACTACTAGTGGTGATAGGGAGATTCTGGCATTTGTGGCGAAGCCATCGAAGGTCAATGGAAAGCTTCCTGTGGTGATCCTTGTGCACGAATTCTATGGCTTGACTCCTGAAATTTGCGGGTAAAACTCCACGATTACTCCAATTACGATATGGTAGGGTTAGCTTTCGCTTGGTCCTACAGTTCTGCGAATGGAAGCGGACAATCTTGAGAGAGAATCTGAGGTCTGTGGGTTTAGGTTCCAGGAATCAGAGTAGAAGGCCCTCTTTACCAATTCTTGTATCCCACCACTGATCGCTGATGGCCTCAAACTAAGTATTTGCATTTCTCTTCAAGTGCCATCTTTCCGTCATGTCTAAAGACACTTCACCATTTCCTTCACCCTCCTCTTTTCCTTGCTTTGGATGTACTCAAGCTCTCATGCGTATTGCTCAGTATCTAGATTTTTTGGGGGAATCAGAATAGCGAATCAAACTTGAGTTAGCTGTGCTTGGACTGAATGAAATGGAATGTGCAGGAAGGCGGATGCAATAGCCAAGGAGGTGGGATGCATAGTTATAGCTCCCGATACCTACAGGGGAGAAAGCACCAGATTCATTCCCAAAGCCATATACTTGGCTCTTGGTACGCCCCAGGTGTCATCTCCTTCCTTATTCGCTGAGGGCTTTTTCAAATCCAAATGGAATCCCCACGCGCGGTTAAGTAGCCGCAGTTTTATTTTACACTTTTCAATTTTGGTTACAACAAATCTTCTATCAAAAAGGCCTAATTAGTAATACTTTGTGATGTCAATGCATCTACAAATGTGTTAGAAAGGGCAGATGTGAACTTGGAGTCCTTGGAAATGTTATAGTTTGACATCACTAAGCGCTTCGCATTCAGCTTCTGGTTTAGTACAAAATTCTAACCCAGCTTTGTGTTTATTTGTGAACTACAGAAGCGTGTTGATGCCGACATTGATGAGGTTCTGGCTTGGGCTTCAACATTATCAGATGCTGACACTAGCCGGGTACGCACCTAATCTGGACAAATTTTGCCTTTCATTCAAAGAGTCAAGCAGAAACTTGGATAATTATTTTGGACGAAACTGATGGCAAGATTTTACCATCCACTATGTTCGTTAATCTGTAGTGTTTATTCAAAATATACTTGAATTGTCGAAAAAATCCATCATTGCTTTGTTGGTGTGCATGCCGTAGGTACCATGTCACGATGTTGTGCTTATCTGCAGGTCGGCCTCGTAGGATTTTGCTACGGAGGTGGCAAGGCGTTGGCATATAGTACCAAGTACAAAGAAGCAAAAGCAACCGTTGTTATCTATGGCAAACCTGTAAGCATTCACGCCCAGGATGCCTTTGCACGTAGATCTTTGGAAAGACGAGATGTGATAAGCTGTGAAAGAATATGGCAGAAAAGTGTGGTGAAATTGTGGCTGAGTTATTCGATAAACTTAGTGGTTCTTGATCCAGTGAAGACTTCGATTCACCCAATAGCAATGTTGCACATGCAGATTCTGGACAGTGACTTGCTAAAAAACATCTACGGCTGTGTCCTTGGCATATTTGGTGATCAAGACTCCCAATTCCCTGCGAGTATGGTAAGAAATGCTTTTCTTTTTTTTCTTTTTTTTGAGATGCAGGAATGGCTAAATCTTTTATTCAGTAAGCTTGGAAGTTTATTAAAACAAGCCTCATGAGATTACTATATATTTCATGTGAAAATGCTCTGTTCTACATTGATTTAGTCTAGTAAGCTCTAGATTGAGTATAAGACTACTTTGTCACGCCACTCGTCTCGTGTTGCTTGCTGTGATGAGTATAATCAGGTGACGAGCTTTCGAGAGGCATTGGACAAAGCTGAAGTGCAAAACACAATTAGCATATACAAAGACCAGGGTCATGCTTTTTGGACCAACATGGATCAGGTATTGTTACTCAGTACGGCAAATTATTTCCCACTTGGCAATGAAAGACCATTGATGGAAGTTGTCATTCCAAACATGATCGAGTCGTGATTTCGCTGGTTTATTCCCTTGAGAGTCCCGCCAAGTAGACCACAAAATATTCATTAATCTCCGTTTCTTCGAGGGCCGGAATAGGTAAGCTCACCACTCATACTGTTTCTCTCTTTTCTGTTTTTTTATTTCATCAGGTTCTCTCAGATGGACCCCAAAGAAAAGCTTGGATTGAAGTTACTAGTTTCCTGAAAGACACGCTACTTGTTGAAGATAAGCATTTAAATGACTCTGCGAAGGAAGCTGAGGAGACGTGCACTGAGGGCAGAATCAGCAATTTGAAGCCTAGTGACGGGGTGGTGATAGTAGATCACGGATCTCGCCGTGCTCAGTCAAATGAGATGCTGCATTTATTTGTAGATCTTTACAAGCAGAAAACAGGGCACCCCATAGTTGAGGCTGCTCACATGGAACTGGCAGAACCATCTATCTCGCATGCGTTTGATCGATGTGTGGAGCAAGGTGCGGAACGTGTCATCATCTGCCCCTATTTCTTTTTTCCAGGTCGCCACTGGGACAGAGATATTCCGGCACTGTCGGCCAAGGCAGCTGAGAAACACGTCGACGTCCCTTACGTTGTAACTGCGCCTATCGGACTTCACGAACTTATGGTCCAGGTACTCGTAGATCGAATGGAATATTGTTTGAGCCGAGTAGCTGGGAATGTTGAAGAGTGTGATATGTGCAGGGGAACTGGGCGGTGCCAACAACTTGCCGCAAATTTAAGTCAGACAACTACAAGTTCTGCCGGTGCTTGAGATCAGTAGCACTTGTCAAGCTCTTACTCTGGGACTAGATTTAACTTGTGTCTAAATTTTGCCCTCCTAATCATGACAAACCAAGAGCTTCAATACAGAGCTTGACAGTTTCGTTACAGAATTTCTTGTGGCGTAGCGCCAGGCTTTGGTCGTGTTGAATCATTGTAACGAAGTGGTTTTCGTACAGTACCAGCACAGATCTTAGCACAAGTCAGGGTAGTTGATGTATGGATACACGTGGGGACTTGGCACAGTTGCTTTATATGCAACTTCCTCACCTTCCTGAGATTTCGTTAACTTCAAAATCAAAAAAAATTCCCGGCTACAAAACATTTGGGCTTCTGAAAAATGAGAATCTCGATGCTTTCAATGAGCAACTAAAGGATATTCAGTCCGACTGTGCACATTGGTTGGTTGGTCGGAACGCAGCCGTCGGCAGCTGCCAAGTCGTACATCTGGGTTGGACTTCTTGAACCATTTCATTCGCAGTAAGCATCCAACCACGCTTTTTGGAATATGCAACGCAATGCTGAAGCTGCTGGAGATATAATTACTAGGTTATGACATTCATTACAACAAAGTATTTAGTGATCAAAAAGAAGAGAAGTTTCTTTGTGTTGTTACTTATCTGGTTAAGTACATAGGCGTGGTTGGCTATAGTTTTAAAATGGCAAAAATACGCTAGGTCTAGGAATACATAACACTTCGCTTAAGGCTTTTTTACACTGCCTGAGTGTTGAGATGTCACCCCGGACTTCATACTTAGCTCGTTAACGCCCTGGTTTGCTTTGAATGTCTCCACAGCCCTGTTAAATGTGGTCGACACATGCTGGTTCATGGCCATGAGATCATTCAGGGCATCCTTCAAGACGTCTCGTGCAGGTACACCTGCAGGTTAAACCAGTGGCAAGTTTGAAGTAACCCTCGCGGGAATGTGCCAACCAAAATTATCTATCCACAACCTTTTATCGGACGAAATTCACACCTTACCATTTACAGATGACTCACACCTAAAAAAAACTTCCACCTCGGGAGATTTAATTATTATACCAGAAAGACCTACTGACTTGAGAGCATTTCCGGAGTTCACTACCACTATGATTTCTCAAGTCTCATGAGTGACAACTATGGCTCACCAGTAGTTTGAACTCGAACATTGATGCGAGTCTCGGATGGGTGGGGAACACTATAGCCACAGAAAGCTACACGAGGACTGCAAAAGTTGACCAAAAACATGCCAACATAAGTTCAAATACACTCCAGTTTAGATTAAACTACCCTATTGGAGTTACATAAGTATCTTTGTTGAAACCTGATGCAAAATCACACAATAACGCACTACCATTTATAGATACAATCAAATATGCACTAAAAGTGAATAGACTCAATACTAGAAACCCACTCCGTATGTATCATTCAGGAATATGACTCAATGAAAAATCTGAATTAAATTGAACATCAAGAGAAATAAATAAATAAATAAATCCAGTGTCACTAAGTGAAAGGACACTAGGACAGCTTACTCCTTGTTGAGCACGAATCGAAGCGAATTTCCAAGCGTGTGGTCCTCGTCCGAGATAGAAAACGTAGCGTTTCGAGGATCAGTTTCCGACCCCAGTTCCATCGTAGCCGCCATTCCTCCACTACCACACCTCAACCCCCAGACTTCTCAAGCGCCACCTCTTTATCCAATTCCCGCTACACTCTGCGCGCATCATGGATTCAATAACCACGTCACGAAGCATCGCAGAGGATCATCAAGCACATTCCACAACCAACACCTTATGACCTGAAAGCAGTCTTTCACAAACAGTCTCAACTTCATGAGAGAAACAAGCTGGTCCTAAAACCCTATCTTGCAAAACACCACATATCAACTGCTTCTTGAGTTCACATTCGAGCCCAACTAGAACACGAAACCATACTCGACAGAGTACAGTGACACCCACTCGAAGCTCAATGCGAGGCTTGCGATGCACTCGGAGCCGATGTCCACCAATTGAGTCACAATCCGAACCCAGCGATTGCTAACGTCAAGTACCTCCAAAAACAACTACCAAGACTACCAAGACTAAGTTGAAACTGAACAAAACAAACTGAGAGTGAGGGATCAGGAGGTGCAAAATTGAGAGTCTCGCAAAACCTCTACAATCGACGAGGATTCACGGTTGTAGTGCAATTCGGTGGCAGAAGAAACCCTTCCGAAGACGAGCGTTAAATCCTAAATCCTAAACCCTATCATCCAGTGAATGACCCAACTACCACTGCTTCCACGAAACTACCTATTTTGGCACCCCTGTTTTCACTTCGGACATGTTTAAAAATCTACATATTTTTTGATTTTTGAAATCTACCAGTTGGGGCCACAGAATTCACAAAGAAAAAAAAATTAACTTAGGTCCATTAGAATATGCTTTTGATGGTATTGTGCACAGTTTGTGATTACTATATATTTTTGAAGTTCTGAAAAATAATAATTGGTTGAGAGCACTTTTATATATATATATATATATATATATATATTTATTGTGGAAAATATATGGTATTATACCTTGATGCATGATGTGAAGAGTTTAGATGTAATTAATTTGTTGATGAAAATACAATCAACTTCTGTAGTTTTGTAAACTATGCTTTGATATCTATGTGCAAATTAAAATTTTAGAAATTGTGTTACGTGATTAAAAAGAAATTGAATTATGTGATTAAAAAGAAATTGAATTATATAATTTTTATGTAACAATATTAAAGAAATAGATGGTTAGTAATTTTTGTTATATTGTAAATTGAATAATAATACTAAATAGGGAAAACGACAAACAATATAATAAAAAAAAAAAATTGCATACATCTTATTTAGTAGAAACGACTGAATCATGTTACAATGTTATTGTATGTTTTTTAAATATTAGCAATTTTGAAGCAATCATGTGTCACTTCTAAATTAAGGACGAGATTGCAAATTCTAATTGAGAAATGTTACGTTAATTCAAAAAATATATGTTAAAGGATAAAGTATCTTAAATTTTTTAAAAAAAATAAATTCATACATATAATATATTTTTTTAAATATTTCATTTTTTAAAATTTCATATTATTTTTTTGATAGTATGTTGTCAATGTCAATAACACAAAAATATATCTACAAATATCTTTATATGTAGAATTTTAGATACAAAATATTAAAAAAATTGCTAATTTAAACCCAAGCATTCCACACTAATGAGAGACCAATAAAATTTAAAAACTAACGCTTTCATTAAAAAAAATTAAAAAATAGATCAAGCTCCAAATCTTAAACATTATATATAGAAACTAAAACCTAAAAATTAGACATTAGTGCACTATTCGTAATTTCTTGTGTGTGCTGTAAAGGAAAGTCAATATGGCACCTAGACTACGATGTTATAATACCTCATCTCCCGAATTAATGTTGATCTTTGGAGTCATATTTGGAATTATTGGAAACTAAATTTACTTAAAAAGAATTAATTAACCCAACCCATTGTAAGCTTCAACTTATCTGCACTGATAGGACATTTTAAGTTTATTTTTCATAAGTAACACATATAATCTTCAATAGTTGCATAACGCCATTATCTATTTCATGCGCTGGTGTTCTTGATCAGAGCAGTGTAGACTTCAAAAACAATGCACCAGGTACTTGCTTAAACAAAAGGATGAAACTACCATGATTTTACATCAAGAGTGAGTGATAACAATACAACAGGGGCGAGCATTTTTTTGAACACCCATAATGTTAGAGCATTTCAGTCACTGCAAATGGCAACAGTGGTGCACTAAGAAAATCAATCCATGAATTGTTGGAACCACACATGAAACTATACAAAATAAGCATAGCAATTCCTAGTCTTCCACACAAAGTATTACATGTTCGCAGAGGAGCGCATTCCAAATATGTAGATGACCATCCTGAGAAAATAATCAGAAGATCACACATAGAACCATATTAATGTTATTTGCAACCTCATAAACACATGTAACCACTCAGTTCGGATCAAAAGTGAAGAAAGTCGAAAGAATCAGTGTGATTCCTATGGAGAACTCGATGAAACTTAGGAATGAGAAGCTGCAAAATCGTTGTTTTTATTACTTCGATCACTTGGTTTTGTTCTTCGAGTCCAAAACAGAATCATTGGAGAGTTGAGGAAGGTCAGCTCCAAGTCTCTCCTGCGTCTTTGCTACCGTAGTCATCAGGGTTTCTGCCTTCTTGTTCCACTCATCCTCGAGCTGCACTGTGGCTTGATCTCCTAATTGGTCCACGAATTCAACCGCAGCTTGCTCCTGTAACATGACGAGTATGCTGAGGTCACCATTACAAAACAAGTCGCATAGAGCTTCTTATCTCTTCTGAATGAAACCAAAAAAAGCACAGAAGCTAGATACTCAGGATAGAAAGAGGAAGAACTAGTGTGCTATGACAACTCAAGCCAATGCTCGCAAAACTTTAAGCCGAGTAGGACGCACATTGTCGGTTGACGTAGCTAAGAAAAAAAGCTGTCAAAGATTTTTTTTAAATAACGTTTTCATGCTTCAAAATAACAAATAGGTAGGAGGAAAAAAAGTACCGCAGCAGTCAAGCTCTCTTTTAATTGTGTCATCTGTGACACAATTGCATGTACCTCTTGAAGAGCAGCTTCCTCGCGAAATTTTTCTTGTGCTAACCGGGCTTCCTGGAGCTACACCCATATCTTACTCAGCGCTAGCCCTAAAGACTGAGATCTTAGGTCTCAACTACTATGTGTAATTCTAACAATTTGAAAAAAATATAAAAAGAAAAGAAAAGCAAAGGAAAGAAAACTTCTCGGATATCAAATTGTGGGTTTTAATTTCCAGATGTTGGCATAGAATACACTATCAAAGTGACGAAATTCCAACATTTATTCAAAGACATGACAACTGGAGTAGAGACCAATAATACTTTGGCAAGCTGTGCATTGATGGCAAGAGTGCGTCGGCGGATTGAATCGTCAGAAGGAAGGTCCCTCATCACACGGAAAAGTTCTCGCACTCGGGATACAATCCTAAAGACCATTTTGTAACAAACTTGTAAGTGTCCTTTTCTCACAAATTATAATAATGGTGAACTCCCGTGTCACAGGCAAAATGATCGGCAGAAGAGGCACCTCCGCTTGAGATTCTTTCGAAACCCTACGCAAAAGACGTCAATGCGAGACTGTCATTGAAAGGTTCCAGGAATTTATAACTGAACCCAGAGCTGCTCATAGTAAACAGGGGCTAGTCACTAGAGCGCAACAAACGTTCCGCACAAACCCAAAACCACGCGATAGCATTCTTCATCGACAGATCACAGCGCAATTACCACTAGCTCAAGTATCTCAGAGCATGGTCTGAGAACCACAAACAAGGCCAGCGAACAACAAATTCACAAACTCCTGCGCGCACACCCGAAACCCACACAGGATTCACGAAATGCGGCAACCAATCGCAAACACCATCCCAAAAAATCCTACATTAGAGCCATAGCCCCTGCAAAAAAACTACAAAATTAGCACCCCACTGGGAAGATCTCTCCTTTCCTACAAAACAACCTCCTCTTCAACGACACCCCGTTTCTTACTTCCATAACAAGAGATTGCTCTCACTCACAAGAGATCAGAAGAAACTCCAGAGCTCCCACGAGAGAACTTCCCCTCAAACATACCTCGTACTTCGACCTTCTCTTGCAAAACTGCCGAAGCACCGATTCCAAATCGCAGCAAAGCACACAAAGTGTGGCCTTCACTTCACTTCCTTTGTTGTAAGATGTTGTTGTGAAGGCATTCAAATTGTTGCGATTCTATGCCAAACTTCAAAACAGAATGGGACTGCCTTATACTGATGCATGGTGCATTCTCAAGACAACCTGACGTCGACTCTTGTGAACTAGACTTTCGTTTTGTTTGTATGACGGAGGAGGTTTTATTGAGAGTTACAGGGTTTAGGGTTATCAAAATATCTTATTTTGTAGTAGTTTTAAATGATAAATACATTTGTATTACACACTTTGACAATAATCTTATGTCATACTAGTCATAAAAGAACCAAATCTATTTTAGCTAAAAGCCACATCATGATACACATTCATAAACTAAAGCGGCTTTAAAATATGTTCATGTGTTGTTTACATAGTCACTTGAACACGACGACCATTGCAAATATTTGTGGTTTGCAGTGCTGTTTATTTAAGAAATTAAAAATTTTATTTCTAAATTCAAATGTAAAACATTGTATTGCTGAAGTTGTGATCGACAACCACACACAATTATGCTTTTGATCTACTAAATTGACAAATTAATGAAATGATAGGGTGCTTTCATGAGCTTCAGGAGGAAAAGGAAAGATCCACGCAGGGTGAGAATGATTCCAATTCCAGCTCTTTTTCTTGGTTCTAGTCTCCGAACTGGGTGTGATCCATTTTGTGTACAAATCAGACCCAGTCACTCTTTGACCCTTCTCATCCGGGAGCCAGGTTTTAGGGCACAGGGCTTACAGGATGTATTACAGAATCTGGTGCATGTGTACCTCGCTTAATTTGTAAAGTCTGTGGACGATAAACTTAGATACTTTTTTAATATTGTAATGTAATTACTACAGTACCACCTGTTCACACTGTCTGCCCCTGGTGCTCCGGGTTGCTTTTCATCCTCGGCACGTCCTTCAAAAACAAAATAAGACTCTAGCTTAACATCTGCGTCACAAACTTAAAGAACTAAAAAAGGGGTGAAACCGCTTCCTGTAGTATTGTATTAATAGGCGATTGCAAGTTGAAATGGCCTAGAACCAGCAATCCTTGCCATCATTATATTTGCACTCTTCGGGTGCTTGCATTCCAAGGTCTCTTCATCTCCGATATGTCTTCGGCTCTGCTGGCGCTGCTCTGATCGTGAATAAGGCGAGGTTACTTCATGAGCTTTGCATCTTCTCAGTCGGTGAGTGAATTGTGAGGTGTCCAGATTATGTGTTGCTTGCAAGTGTCCTCGCTGGTACCAGAGTTTGCAGCTGACGATCGATGACTGTCTGAACGGCGATGAGATCTCGTGCCGCTGGATGCTGTGTCTCCTGTGGAACTCGTCTGCCGCTTGCTCGCTGAACTGACTGATCGGTTGGAGCTTCGTTAATACGAGTGAGTCCTGAGGGGTGTACCGAATCTGTAGGTTGCATCATTCGACGGTGCTTTACACTTTTCACACTGTGAATGTCGTCTTTTGATTTGTGCGAACACCACAGAGTTTGATGGCAATGGTTGAGCCACACACAAGTTTTGATTGGCAGGGTCGATGGACACCCGTTTGAAGAGCTCATCACTATATCGCTTGAACTCAATTTCGTGTGCTTCTGAGGCAGACCAGACCTCGTGGACTTGCTGATCGGGAACGTGGATTTCATGAGCTTTGCATCTTTTCAGTCGGTGTGTGAATTGTGAGGTGTCCAGATTATGTGTTGCTTGCAAGTGTCCTCGCTGGTACCAGAGTTTGCAGCTGACGATCGATGACTGTCTGAACGGCGATGAGATCTCGTGCCGCTGGATGCTGTGTCTCCTGTGGAACTCGTCTGCCGCTTGCTCGCTGAACTGACTGATCGGTTGGAGCTTCGTTGATACGAGTGAGTCGTGAGGGGTGTACCGAATCTGTAGGTTGCATCATTCGACGGTGCTTTACACTTTTCACACTGTGAATGTCGTCTTTTGATTTGTGCGAACACCACAGAGTTTGATGGCAATGGTTGAGCCACACACAAGTTTTGATTGGCAGGGTCGATGGACACGCGTTTGAAGAGCTCATCACTATATCGCTTGAACTCAATTTCGTGTGCTTCTAAGGCAGACCAGACCTCGTAGACTTGCTGATCGGGAACGTGGATTTCATGAGCTTTGCATCTTTTCAGTCGGTGTGTGAATTGTGAGGTGTCCAGATTATGTGTTGCTTGCAAGTGTCCTCGCTGGTACCAGAGTTTGCAGCTGACGATCGATGACTGTCTGAACGGCGATGAGATCTCGTGCCGCTGGATGCTGTGTCTCCTGTGGAACTCGTCTGCCGCTTGCTCGCTGAACTGACTGATCGGTTGGAGCTTCGTTAATACGAGTGAGTCCTGAGGGGTGTACCGAATCTGTAGGTTGCATCATTCGACGGTGCTTTACACTTTTCACACTGTGAATGTCGTCTTTTGATTTGTGCGAACACCACAGAGTTTGATGGCAATGGTTGAGCCACACACAAGTTTTGATTGGCAGGGTCGATGGACACGCGTTTGAAGAGCTCATCACTATATCGCTTGAACTCAATTTCGTGTGCTTCTAAGGCAGACCAGACCTCGTAGACTTGCTGATCGGGAACGTGGATTTCATGAGCTTTGCATCTTTTCAGTCGGTGTGTGAATTGTGAGGTGTCCAGATTATGTGTTGCTTGCAAGTGTCCTCGCTGGTACCAGAGTTTGCAGCTGACGATCGATGACTGTCTGAACGGCGATGAGATCTCGTGCCGCTGGATGCTGTGTCTCCTGTGGAACTCGTCTGCCGCTTGCTCGCTGAACTGACTGATCGGTTGGAGCTTCGTTAATACGAGTGAGTCCTGAGGGGTGTACCGAATCTGTAGGTTGCATCATTCGACGGTGCTTTACACTTTTCACACTGTGAATGTCGTCTTTTGATTTGTGCGAACACCACAGAGTTTGATGGCCATGGTTGAGCCACACACAAGTTTTGATTGGCAGGGTCGATGGACACGCGTTTGAAGAGCTCATCACTATATCGCTTGAACTCAATTTCGTGTGCTTCTGAGGCAGACCAGACCTCGTGGACTTGCTGATCGGGAACGTGGATTTCATGTAGGTGTGGCCATGACGACTGAGCACGTCCCTCACTACTACGAAGGTTGGTTACTGGGAGTGGTTGCGAGCAGTAACCGATGTGCGGCGGACATGTTCGAAGCCATTGCCCGTGTCATTCGGCGTTGCAGTGTAAGCTTGGCTGTTGCTTTGGGGAAAATGCTACGTTGGAGACATCATTTGCCTCCAGCGCCGTCTGCCAGGATGTGGGATATCGACGCGGGTTTGCACGGTCCTGCTCTCAAGAGGTCAGAGATGGGCGAAATATTTCCACCCCTTTTGTTCGAGGATAGATAGTTCGTTGGGAACGAAAATTCAACGCCTATGAGAATGTGCAATCGACGTTTGCACTGTACCGACACCGCACCGCAACACCCAAACTGTTTTTAGCATGATGGTTCTATATCTGTTTTAAATAACTTATAATCGGGAGAATTATAAATTATGAAGTGATCTTCGTCTGTTAAGCAGAAGAATAAACTGGAATATTACACAAATGTTTTAACAGACTTAAGTATGATATATGTTGTACGATTGCACAACCTGAATCAGTAAATATATGATTTTTTTTATAATTTTTATCTTTGGTGTTCATGTGGTTGTTGATATTAAGGAGGGAGGAAAATCTCTGAAGAAACTAGTCCCACAAACTGCAAGTCTGATCCTTTATATGCAAGTTTGTTTGAATAAGTTTATGCACAAGTGCTGTTGTTTTAATCATCTGACTGTTTACTATGTTATGAGTAGGATGGTGAGCCAGTAGGATAGTACACCATAAAACATAGATAAATTAATACACACGTACATATATACATACACACAAGTTCCTGGATCTCTGAGTCTAGATACGTTATTTGCGGTGGATTGTTCCGTATTTTCATGCGTTTTCTCAGTGTGGGCTTTAGCAACGGATCTCTAACTCAAGTTCAGCTAAGGTTGTTCGTAATCGTATGGCTCTAAGCGTGGGCTTTCCCGGCCAAATAATATATTTTTTTCCTTACATGGAGCCACCCCACCCGTGGCCTTGCATTATGGCAAAAACTAGCAGCATATATGGCTTCCGGAGGCGCTGCGCTCTCGTATTGCTTATCGTGGTAACTTTTGTAAGCGAATGAGTCATTCAATTTCAAAATAAACAACGTTTTCTCAGTATTTTGTAATTTTACTGTTTTTTTTCCTTGATTTATGTGTATTTCTTATCATGTTTATTCGATTATTACTACATAAAACTTCAGATGCAATTGATTCGTTTTATTCATGTTTTTGTTTTTTAACTCGGTTTTACAATCTAAAAAACGTAGTATTTGAAAAGAATTTACAAGTGATTTTGGCATGTTCCATTTTTATCTGTATATGAGAAAATTCGAGGCCAATGTGTTTTTGATTAATTTGGACTTGTTGAATTGAATCATTTACATGAAGTAGAGAATGAGAAGTCTTCATACTTCCAGTTTTACTCTATTATTTTTCTATGGACCTATCTACTTCCAGTTTAATTATAGTTTGTTTATGATTTTTGAAAACTCTAGAACACATGTTGTACACCATGTGTTCTAGATAAAATTATAATTATTTTAAAATTGTATCTAAGTGTTGATTATGACTAATGTTTTTTCTATACATGACATGCTAATTTTGTTTTTTTAAATTGTTAGAAATATACTTTGTAAGTACTTAAATGATACACACTATACAAAACTTATAGTATAATTATTATTATTGCAACAATCTACAAAAAATTCAAATTTACCTAGACGTTTTTAACAATTAAAAATGGCATGGTTTTTTACGAAGTTTATATTATTTAATACAATAGACAATTGTCTCCCTAAAATTAAGTTAGGAATTACACTATATCTCAATTATACTAAGTCTTAGGTCCAAGGTTCTAATTTTCTTTAGTGAAATATGTATTGAAAAAAAAGACTTGTGCCAAGACTTAGAGTTGCTATGAGACTAGAAGTTGCCGTAAGAGTGGAACAAGGAAGTTGTGACAAGATGAAGTATTGTTGTGGAAGTGAAAAATTTATTTAAACTTTAAGAATACATCACAAATTAATATTCTTATTTATATTTTATTTATTATTATATTATTTTTAGAAGTTGTGCATTATGCATGATACAAATCTTATATATACATACATAGATGTATACACATTTGTATAT